CCCGCCAAAACCATCACGACGTCGTTTCTCATTTCCAATCTTCACTGTCCCTCGTGTGTCTCGACTATCAAAGACGTTCTCCTTGGCGAGCCATCAACCGGCTCACATATCCGATGGGTTTCGCCCAACGTAGTCACTTCGGTCGTCACCGTGGAACACGACTCGGGCTCTTCAGACAACAACTCAGCCGCATCCGCAACATCCGTCATCAAAGGCATGCATCGCGCCTTGGAAGACAGTGGCTTCGAGGTCAGCGGTGTAACAACGACGGCTACTGTTGGTGACCATGACATTGACAACGACGACAACGGCGGCTTCCCGGTTCGAGATCTCGGCATCCAAGCTGAAGGCGAATCCTCCACCTTCTCACGATGGGTCACCACCGCTTCACGACGAACCAATAGCCCCTTTGGGTCTCAGAAGCGGGCTGAAACACACTTCCAGAACTGCGAGCAGTGTCGTACATCGAAAGCAACGACAGGTCACCAAGTACAAGAAAAGACAAGTGAAAAGGAAAAGGAGTCTCCGGTATCAGCAGTTAGGGGTATTCACGCTGCTCCAGATTTGTTGACAGCTCGGCAAAAGAACATGGCATCAACCTCAACCAAAAAGTCCTTCTCAACCGATACCGTGGTGGATCTTGGAGGAAGAGTCCCATCCTCTCAACCACCACCACTGTACAGAGTAACAGTAGCCATCGGCGGCATGACCTGCGCAGCCTGCGTCAACACCATCACCAACGAGCTGAACAAAAAAGATTGGATCGCCCACGTCTCCGTCAACCTGATCAACAACAGCGCTGCCATCGACATTCACGATGAAAGCAGGGCGACCGAGCTGGTTGAGGCCATCGAGGACCTAGGCTATGACGTGAAACTCGACAAGGTCGTTGCCCTCTCCGACCCGTCAAAGCCACCACCAAAGCCAAAAGCCGGCCGCGAAATCTTATCAGATGCATGGCGGGCGACCGTGTCCATTGGCGGGATGACATGCGCGTCTTGTGCCAACTCCATCACCAACGAGATGAAGAAGCGGGACTGGGTGCAAGACATCACGGTCAACCTTCTCACCAACAGCGCGACTGTTGAGTTCGCTGGCAGAGAAAACGCCGACAAGCTGGTGGGAGAGATTGAGGATCTCGGCTTCGAAGCGACGCTCAACGAGGAGACCTTGGTCAACGTCGCCATCCACGAAGGGGGGCCGAACCCCGAGGAAGAGCAGCAGCAAAGAAGAGAAGTCGAGATCCGCATCCAGGGCATGTACTGCGAACACTGCCCCTCACGAGTCTCGGCCAGTCTGGCAGGCTTCCGCAGACAGCTGGACGTGATCAGCCAACCGAGTCATAAGAGACCGATCGTCAAGATAGTTTATGTCCCTGACGCTCCCGAGTTCACGATCCGGCACATTCTCAAAGCGATTGAGGCGAGTGACCCGGCTTTCAAACCATCCATCTACCACCCTCCTTCCCTCGAGGAACAGTCCAAGGCCATCCAGCGCCACCACCAACTACAAATCCTCTGGCGCGTCATTTTTTCTTTTGTTGTCGCGATCCCAACCTTCATCATCGGCATCGTCTACATGACCCTGGTGAAGGCCTCCTCCGGCAACAAGTCTCGCGAGTTCCTGATGAAACCATGGACGTCCGGTATCTCGCGCGCGCAGATCGCCCTATTCATCATGGCCACACCCGTCTACTTGTTTGCCGCCGACATCTTCCATAGGCGCGCCTACAAGGAGATCAGGACGCTGTGGCGACGATCCAGTCGCGTCCCTCTGCTCCAGCGCTTCTACCGCTTCGGCAGCATGAACACGCTCATGTCCCTGGGCACGACCATCGCTTACGTCTCATCCGTATGCCAGATGATTGCGGCGGGAGCGCAGAAAGTGCACATGGTTGATGATTCCAACTTTTACTTTGACTCGGTCGTGTTTCTCACCTTATTTTTGCTCGTAGGCCGATTGATTGAGTCGTACAGCAAGTCGCGTACGGGAGACGCGGTGGAGATGCTGGGGAAGCTGCGCCCGACGACGGCCATTCTGGTGGAAGGATACGGCACCGAGAAAGAGCGGGATGAAGTGGTACAGGCGGACTCGTTGGACTACGGTGACGTCGTGCGCATCCCTCATGGCGCTTCCCCACCGGCAGACGGCATAGTTGTTCGCGGCGAAGGCAGTTTGGACGAGTCGAGTCTGACTGGCGAGTCCAGGCCGGTCAAGAAGGTCGTCGGCGATGAGGTGTATACGGGCACCGTCAACAAGGACGCACCGCTCTTGGTCCGGGTCACTGGCGTTGCTGGCAAGTCGATGCTGGACGAGGTCGTCAAGGCGGTCCGCGAAGGCCAAACCAGGCGGGCTCCCATTGAGCAAGTGGCGGATATTTTGACAGCCTATTTCGTTCCCGTGGTCATTGCCATTGCGGTTGCCACTTGGATCATCTGGCTTGCTGTTGGACATAGTGGTCATGTGGCAAGCGACTTTCTTGGAGACACCAAGGGCGGTTGGGTTGTCTTTGCGTTGCAGTTCGCCATTTCCGTCTTTGTGGTGGCTTGTCCCTGCGGCCTGGCGCTGGCTGCCCCAACGGCCATCTTTGTTGGTGGTGGAATCGCGGCAAAACATGGAATCTTGGCCAAGGGAGGAGGTGAAGCGTTTGAGAAGGCCAGTAGGGTCGACTGCGTCGTTTTCGACAAGACTGGCACTTTGACGATGGGAGGAGAGCCTAAGATCACGGAATCGGAAGTTTTCCTTGGCGCAGCAGATGATGAAGCTGGCACCGTGTTTGCGGCACTGAAGGCGGTCGAAGAGAACAGTAGTCATCCGATAGCGAAAGCCATTGTCGCTTTCTGTGCGGCAAAGACGTCGGCCAAAGTCCAAGTCGAGGACTTGCAGGAGATTGCTGGCAAGGGGATGAAGGCCAGGTGTATAGGTGTGGACTCACAAGCTAACTTCGATCTCATTGTCGGTAACGAATCCCTGATGGAGGACTTTTCCGTTACCGTGTCGAATGAGACTGTCCAGACGCTGCAGAAGTGGAAGAGTGAGGCCAAGTCGGTTGCTTTGGTTGCCATACGGCGACACCAGAGCAATGATCCCAACGGATGGCTCCTTGCTGTTACCCTAGCAATTTCCGATCCCATTCGCCCCGAAGCACCGCTCATTGTCAAGGCGCTTCAGTCCCGGGGCACGCGCGTGTGGATGCTGTCCGGTGATAACCCTGTTACGGCAGCCGCGGTCGCACATCAACTAGGAATTCCCGCTGACCAGGTCATCGCCGGAGTGCTCCCTACCGGGAAGGCCGATAAGATTAGGTATTTGCAAGGAACAGAGAAGGCGCGCGTTGGCAAGGGCAGCGAATCCAGTACCCGTCGTGCGTTGGTGGCCATGGTTGGCGATGGTATCAATGACAGCCCAGCGTTGGCAACAGCAGATATCGGCATTGCCATCGGATCCGGGGCAGACATTGCCATTAGCAGCGCGGACTTTGTGCTCATCAACAGCGACCTGCGCGGGGTGGTGACGCTCCTCGATCTCTCGTCCACAGTCTTCCAGAGGATCAAGTTCAACTTTGGGTGGGCGGTGGTGTACAACTGCATCGCGCTTCCTGTGGCGGCGGGCGCCTTCTATCCCATTGTGAGCAACGGGCACCACGTCAAGTTGGCTCCGGTGTGGGCTAGTTTGGCCATGGCGTTGAGCAGTATTAGCGTGGTGTTGAGCTCATTGGCTTTACGGAGCAGAGTGGTTGGGATTGGATTCCGGGCGAGGAAGATTGGAGAGGAATAGAAAGAGGCGAATGGAAATGAACATGTTTTAAGTAGGAGATAGGTCCAATATAGACAGCGAGTAACGAGCATATATTTTGTCGGTCGATTGTTTGTCGCGGTGATAAATGCATGACGTCCCTCGGTTTCGGTGACTAGCAGTACCCGTGGAGATAGGGTGCCTGTCTGACCCATCCCCACTCTCTTACAGAGAGTGGGGCACAAAATCGCCGGACAGCTCAAAACCACCGGACAGAACAGTTTTGTATAGTAATTGCTAAGAAAATTGTTAGTGCAAAGGGCTGGAACGTTAATATCTCAACGAAAATAGCTATAAATAATCTCAAATTTTAGAGAAAGCTTTATAAGGCTATTAGAAGGTATTTTGGAAATTCTTAGTAAAATTCTCTAAAGGGTTTTAAAGGTATAAGAGAAAAGGTGCAAAATTGCATCAAAAGTTGCGGTTTAGTCAAAAGGGAATATTTTAGGAAAATGTATAGCATTTTGCTGCATCTTGGTCAAACTATGACTAATCCTCTCCAAATTCTCTATACGTCTTCTTTAAATAGTTAAGATTATGTTTCTAAATTTTAGAATCAGTAGCCCTTATAGTCACTAAGTTATGGATATTTGAATATTTGCACTAACAGTTTTCCTAGTAATCACAATACAAAACTGTTCTGTCCGGTGGTTTTGAGCTGTCCGGCGATTTTGTGCCCCACTCTCTGTAAGAGAGTGGGGATGGGTAAAAACCACCCTATCTCCACGGGTAGTGTAAACCAGGGTTGGAGGGTAGCTCCGGCTACAGACCCACTGGAGCCGCTCGTGTCTCCCCTGTCCATGTCCATTGAGCCCAGGAACCGAACCTCAACTCGAGCATCTTCTTTCTTTTGGTTCTTTTGGTTCTTGACTTGAAGCCCACCACAGCCATTGCTTGCTTCAACACGACCCATTGGCTGTGAAGCTCCCAACAACCGCCATCGGTGCTACCCTCCTTCAAGACCATCGATCGGAAGCCAGTAAACAACAGACGAACCGGAATTGTCCGAGCGTTGATTGAATACTTATAAAATAAAACCACCAAACGACTATTTACGCGAGCTCGGCCACTCAACTTGCTACGATCATCATCATTTCGAAAGCACGGCAAAAGCGACGCGGTCGCTGACAGCGCCTTTGCTTCATCAACCTCCCGAAACGCCCAACCGTCTACCGATACCCTCACGATCGAGAAAGTCAGACACCATGAACGCTACCGTGAAGCGCAAGTTCAACTCCTTGCTCCAGGGCATCGGGAACCGGCCGACTAACCCAGACTCCCCCTCCTCGACGCGCGACAATGACTCGCTGAGCTCGACGCCTGCCTCTTCCTCAAGCTCGAGGTTTACAAACATGGCCAACGATAGCCTCGACTATCTCAGTAAGAAGCGCCGTGTCGGCGGGCTGCCCTCCACACCGAGCGCAATCACGTTAACGACCCCGACGAAAGGGCAAACCACCATCTCCAACGTCACCCTGCGAAAATGGAACTCCCACGGCGGTCCAGGGAGCAGCCCCGCGCCCGGGGCCGGCGGCGGCAGCAGCGCGAAGGGGGATAGCCCAGTTACGAAATTGCAACCACCCAAATACTGCCCGGGCGACCGCGACCAGCTCGTGCGACGATTGGCAACTTTCCAAGAGCTGACGGACTGGACACCAAAACCCGATAGGGCCAACGAGATCGAATGGGCGAAGCGCGGCTGGGTGTGCCAGGGCAAGGAGCGTGTTAAGTGCACGCTCTGCAACAACGAACTGGCTGTCAAGCTGAATCGTAAGGAGGTAGATGGGAAGGAGATTCCGGTGCTGATCGCCGCAGATATTGCTGAGTCGGTGGTGGATCAATACGTCGAGCTGATCATCACATCGCACCGAGAGGATTGCTTGTGGAGGAAGAAGGGGTGCGACGGTGAGTATCTGCATGCAGGAGAGTCCTGACACTGTGCTAACGGTTTCCTCAACCAGATTCACTTCTACGATTGCCTCTGCCTAACCCCAAGTTAGCCCTCGAAACCCTACGCCAGCGATACGATGAGCTCTGCCAGCGCAAGGACTTTCTCCCCTATGAATTCAACCTCCGTCTTCCAGAAGGGTTCGACATCGACATCATCCTCTCGTACCTGCCACCCAACTTCTTCGCCGAGCCTCCTGCATCCAGCACCGCCGATTCTTCTGCAGCCTCACAGCCCGCTAGTCCGAACCCATCCACCTCACAACAACCACAAGCAGTCAACCGCACCGCCTTAGCCCTCGCCCTCCTCGGCTGGCAAGGTCTCACCAACCCTCGCCTCGGCACCGCCGTCCCCAACTCGGCCTCCTGCCATACCTGCCTCCGCCGCCTCGGCCTCTGGATGTTTAAATCCAAGCAAGTCGACCCCGACACCAACACGATCCTGGTCCCCGCGCCCATGGATCACCTCGACCCTTTACGCGAGCACCGCTTCTTCTGTCCGTGGAAGAACCCGCAAGCGCAGCGGAACCCGGGTGCCAAGCCCTTGGCCAGGGGTGAGACGGACAAAGCCGCCTGGGAGGTTCTAGTGGAAGGGCTGAAGAACGAGAGCCGGTTGAGAGAAAAGGCAAGGGATTTGATGCATGGGAGGAGCAAGTCCTCCGGCTCTGGGTTTGGGTTTGGGCTGGGAGGGAAGAAAGGAACACCGCATCGGGCGACGGGAAGCACGAGTGGGTTTCTGGGAGTGCCGATGACGCCGGACGGTAGAGGGGTAACGGGACAACAACCGAATAGTGCGCCGGGTGGTCTTCATGTTGGTGGTGAAGAAGGAGGAGGAGGGGACGAAGAAGAGGGGTTTGAGGAGGAGGACGATGATGAGTCGGAGGAGGCAAGGAAGAAGAAGGATCAGGCTATGATGAGCAGGTTGAAGAGGGTCAAGACCTTATTCAATACGAAGGGGAGCAAGTTGAAAAAGTTGGGGGCGTCTCCGTCGCCGTCCCCGGGATCCGCGGGAACGGGGACGGCAGCGGTTAATGTGCCGGATAGTCCTCGGCCGGGGTCTTCGCATTCTACGAGGACCACCGGGACGCCGGGGACAGCTGCGACTACGGGAGGCAGTACAAACGCCCCTGCTGAGTGATGTGAGGGGAGTGGCTATTGTTCATCGTCATCATCTTGCAGGTTGGCTGGCGAGCGTTGACACGCATGGAGTTTGGGGAACAATGTTATCGTCCAAAATTTGTATTCTAGAGGTGTATCAATAGCCTTTGATTTTAGCGTCAACGGTTTCCCTGCCAAATAATCAGCTCAAGGATACTGTGTAGATCTTCATTAAGGTTTGGCGAGTCCGCGATCACACCGGCGCGTGCTTGTTGTGTACCAAACCATCATTATCAATGTGTGAGCACGGATCACCTCCAGGGTTAAGTACTACCTTTGTGTACACCGTCGTCCCACGCAAACCACGGTGAACCCTCACCTTTCCCCGGCCGGCTACCGAAACGGCGAAAAACCAAGGCCGCCGTATCCGTCCGTGTCAGTGATCAACGGGAAAAAGCACGTGGCGAAAGAGAAATGCCGTATCAAGACCCCTGTTTGCATCTTTTTAGTTTTGTAGATTTTTTTTTTTTTTTCTCCCGGGTAGGGCGGAACATTTGTCGCAAGGCTTTCTGTGTCTTGTTAGAACACTGCGACGAGAACTGCGACGAGAACAACGACAACAGAAAACCCTGTATTGAAAAAGAAAGCAAACATGCAATGCAATGCTCGCGATGGGAGGCTTAGTTGCTTTGCCAAAGTCAATCAATGAGTGCGAATTCTCAGATTGAACATGGACACTGACAGACGGCGGCGGGCCAATCTCACAAACTTTTTTTTTTTTTTCTTTCTTTGTTTTTTTCTTTTTTGGCGCTCAAAACTTTGCCAAACCAGTCGACCAACCCACCAACCCACCAAGAAGCAACCGACAACCATTCTGGCAATCCGCCAATAACCACCGATCACTCATCGAGAGCGCAGTTTGCCTCACCTTCATCTACAATCACCAAAAACCAAATTGCACACACAACTCACCAAAAAGAAACCAGACCAGTTCTTCGAAAGACGTTGCGTAACCAGAACAGAACAGACCTACACTACACTGCAGTCCCCTCCCCCCACCTCGCCCACCCCACCTACTCCTCTTCTTCCGTTTTTTTTATTGACCTTGGTAACTTACGACTTGCACAAGTCGCCCTCCTGGCACTATATAAGTTGAGCAAAAATGTACTCATCTCAACAAACCGATTATTCCTGCAAATAATCAACTTGCGGCGGCTTAGTGGTCTAGTGGTATGATTCTCGCTTTGGGTGCGAGAGGTCCCGGGTTCAATCCCCGGCTGAGCCCCTCTTTTTTGGAGGTTGTATTGACTTTTTTCTGGTGAGTTTCTGAATGAATTGTAATGCCTGATTTCTGATTTCTTTTAATTTTTTTTATTTCAAGATGATGCGTCGTTTGTATGTTATTTGTGATGTCGTTCGTTTTGGTAAGGAGTCCTGTTGACAAAAGCTGGTGCAGTAATGTTCTTTGTGTGTGGGGGAAATCGAACATGAGTGGTTACATGAAGTGTTGTAAGATATCCAGATGAGAGGTCGAAAAGAAGAGAAAAAAGGTCGATGCCGAATTGGAAAAACAAAATAGTAAAAAAAGACGAAGAGACAGAGAAAGATAAATACCTATGGTAGGTAGTCTCTTCGTGCAACTGGCCCGCCTTGTGTAACGCTGCCTGTCCTGATAACAAGAGTCCAGCTCGCGCTTACAGTTTCTCGCCTGTTCCTCCACCCAACTTGATTCTTGAAAGAAATGAATTTGAGCATGTGAGATCCTCTGTCGAGTTTATAGTCCAGGATGCGAGGGCTCAGTCGTCTTAGTAATGGGTGATGTAGATAGTACTCGTTGGGGAGGGGGCTTCGGGTTTCCTGTCTGTTCCCCGACTCTGTACTAACCAATGGATTTTCAAAACTTGTTACTTGTCGTGTTTGTACATCAACGCACCGCCCAGAATTTGCTCTTCACCAGCCTGCAATGCAGATCGCGCCGAGGTTCGCGGATTTCGCATCGCTTCATGAACACCGAGCATGATGGATCTTGCTAAAAGAACCAAGCCACGGGCTATCGTTCCCTTGACCTTTGTATTGATGAGACTGAGGGGAACATGCCATGCGAAAGGAATCTCCAAGCAAAGAAACCAGGCAAACTTTTCACGTAATACCTTTCCTTCATTGAGATCTTCGAACCAGACAGACTATACAGTTACATCTACTTCATTCTGATCGTTGATACTATCTCTTTCTTCATAAACCATGCAAATCATTAATAATATCCATACGGATATTCGCTGTCTTTACCAAATCCCAAACGCTGTTGATTGGCCATCCTAACTTGCCGCTTGTAAGTCATCCCGCTTCAAGAGCCTCCATTTTTCTAATTCCCATCCTAACCCTTCTTCCAGTCGTCTTCCGCTTAGCCATACCGAACACGCACAAGTCGACCCGTCTCTCCTTTGGCTACCGCGACTTCGCAACTTCACAATTTCCACACCACTGACGATCAATAATCAGCCCCAACCCAATCCAACACCGCACAAATCATCTCGACAGCCAACACCCCTCCTCTCGCCAAGAGCTCCACGAATCCTTCAAGCATAACCACCGTCAACCACACAGCTGCAAAGGCCACGCCGCTGAGCCGCCCCGCGATCCGCAGCATCCTCATGAACGGATGATACCCCCTAGCCGCCATATCGCCGTGAAACTCGGCCAGCATCATAGCGGCATGCGCTTCCAGCTCGCTGGCCGCGGCTGCAATGGCTGCTGTGGTGGAGACGGTCGTTGCCGAAGTCACGGAAGAAGAAGTGACCCTTCGGTGATGGTCATGGTTGCTGTGTGAAGGAGAAAAAAGAGATGACGAGAACGAAGATGATGGCGATGAACCGAAAAAGACTCTATCGAAGCCTAGTCAATGCGCGCCGCCGCCTCCACCAGCAGCAGTAGCAGCAGCAGCATGAGCGCCACCGCTACCACCTACTGAGACGGGATTACCCATGGCCATCAGAAGTCTCTTATTCTTCCTGACGGTCTGGTTAAAGTGCTTCTCGATCTTGTCCCCTTCCTTACGGGCAGCCGACAAAGCTGACTCGGCGTCTTCGAGACTCATCAGCGGTACGTTGCCGAACGGGCCGGGAGCACCGCCAATGTTGAGGCCCGCACCACCCTTGTGACCCATAGGATCGTCTAGAGCAGATGGCGACGGTGAAGGGGGCATGTCCAGGTAGGATCCATGCGCGTCGGCAAACGCGCTGACGGGGGCGGGATAGCTGATCTCTGGTGCCACAGCGTCGTTATCGTGCGGCGACGCAGGAGAGCCAGCGCCGTACATCCATGGAGCAAGCGAGCTCAGGCCGGCGGCGGCCGGGTTCCCGCCACGCTGATCCGGGTGCCAGTTGGACATGGCCTTGGGGAAGCTCATGTCTCTGGCGTTCAGGTTCAACCGCGGCAGGACGTACTGGTTGATATAGTAGATCGCTTCCTCCCGCTGGATCTTGTTCACAGGATCCGTCGGATATTGGCCCGGAGCCTGGGGAAAGTAGCCCGGTGGCCCATTGGGCACAGCACGCCCTTTGATCAGACTGAATCCACCACCGGCTTCGTGGCGAGAGGAAACAAACGCGGCAGGGCTTGAAGCGGTCTCGGCGATGCGAGCCTGAAGCTCCAAGAACCGATCCTCCTCTTCTTCGGTCAGGTTGCGAATGCAGTCACCGTTGGGAGTAAGGAGAATGCGGACGCCGTCAATCATTTTACGAACGGGGTGACCCGCGAGTAGAGCTGCCTGATCCTCGTCAGTCACAATCGACTTCGTAGGCGTCATGGCGTTCCGAGCCGCGTTCTCCCTGGCAGCAGCGTTGCTATGATCATTTCTCGACTTCTCAAACCCAGTGCTTGTTGGCTTGAAAAGAGGCAGGTCATCGATCTTCTCGGGAACAAGCCCCGACTTTTGCAAATCTTGGAAGATCGTGCCAGGTGTCGGCAAAGTTCGAGGGGTTGAGACCGCATCTGACTTTGGAGTCTCCTTTGCTCCCCTGGTCTTAATCGGAGAGGCGTCATCCGTCAATGTCGTCGTTTCATTAGCCGTCGATCGGTAGGTTGAAGACTCCTCCTTGACCTCCTTCACCTCCTTCGTGGGTGGCGGGGGCGGCGTCTCCTTTTCCTTTTGTGCAGGTGTTTCCGGTCTACTGACAGTGGGTGTTACGTTTATGTTGGTGGTGCTTGGCTTTTCCTTCTCCTTCTCCTTCTTCTGCTTCTTCTTGCGGCCAATGATGGGCCCGATCTCCTCACTCGGATCAGACTTGACAGGCTGTGCTGCCACAGCTGCTGTTTCCTTCTTGAGCTGCTCCTTCCTTGCTTTCCTTTGCTGACTCTTGGTGGTTGCTCTGACAGGGGCAGAGCCGATCTTGGACGGCGGCGGTGAGCTGGTGCGAGATGCCGAGACCGAGGCTGAAACAATGGACGCACTATCCGAAATCATCTCACTAGCAGGAGTCTCGGGTCTAACAGAAATAGAAGCTATAGAACGGGCCGCGGAGCCCAAAACGCTCGTCACACCCGCATTGGCGGGTGTGGAGGGCGTCTCAGCCTTCGGAGTTGAGACAAGTCTAAGTGTCTTTGCTGTCCGAGCGAGCGGCGAAGCCACTGAAGCAGTCGTTGGCGTAGGCAGGGCAGGGAAAGCTGAGTCTCGATCATGGGCAGATTTCTCCGTCGTTGTTGATGAACTCTCAGCAGTCTTGACCTGGGCAACCTGGGTAGCTGCAGCGATGTTGAGAACTGGGGCAGGCTTTTTGTCTACAGGGCGGGGCTCTGGTTCAGGTGGAGTGGGCGCTACCGCTGGTATAACCAGCACAGGAGCAGGCTTCTCCTTTTCCGCAGCCTTTTCAGCCTTCTTGGCTGCCTTAGACTTGGTTGCCGTAGTCTTAGTCGAAACGGCAGGTGTCGTGGCAGCCGCCTGGGCCTTGGGACTGTTAAGAGCAGGGAAGTCCTCGTCTGCCAGAACCTTCGGTGCCTTTGCCTTAACCGTTGCAATATCCCTCGATAGCCCACTCTCCGCAGCAAGAGCTTGGATGTTCTCCTTGGAGTTCTTCTTGGCCCCAGGCGCGAGAGCTGCGAGACGGAGCTTCTTATCGTTTTCACACGAATCCATGTGTCTCTCCGCTTCCAAAACGTCGATAGTCTTGCCATCCTTGGCAACAGGCAAATCCAAGGCGCAAAAGGGACAGTATCGCATGCCCTTTTCCACGCTATTCTTCCGGTTCTTGCTGATAAGTGGGCTGGGAGCTGTTGTAGGCGTTGACGTGGTTGACGCTGCGGTGGAAACTGCCACACTAGATGCCGTTGCGGTTACGGGTGTACTCGTAGGCGGTGCCGTAGACGCTGCGGTAGACGCCGCTGCTGTGGTTACCTTGGGAGGAACAACAGGTACGGCGACCGGCGGTGTCTGCGTTCCGGCTCTCAAAGATGCGTGAGAAATCGCAGGGGAAGGATGGTTGATTGGCATACCCAGTCCCGGAGGAGGGGCAACAATAGGAGTCCCGGTGCGGCCGAAGTTATCGAAGGCTCCAGGCGGTTGACGTATCGTCGTGATGGGTTCGTCAGAAACCAGAGCGTCTACGCTTGTCGTGACTTCTTCGAACGAGGGAAGATCATCATCTACAAAGCTATTAGCCTCTCGGATGGAAGAGCAAATTTTTCATCTGATGTAGTGCGGGCTTGGGACCGGGGACCACTTGGTAGAAAGGGAGCACCAAGACAACAACGACAACGACAACGACAAGAATCGCGGCACAAGTTATATACAGGAGTGCTCTTTGTTTGGTCACGTCAAGACTACCATCATCGTCTTCCACGAGGTTGGGAAACGGAGACCCGCTTACAGCAGCGGTAAAAATGCTCTATTTTTGACCTTTGCGCCAACTGAACTCAGACCGTACGAAAACTGGGACCGACGTTAACGTACATGTGGAAGAGAAATCTCGGAGGAAGACGATGAGAGCTTGCCTGACGTGACCGATATACCCCAGTGATGCAGAACCCTAAAGCCTGTGCGGGAGTGAATAGAAGCGAAGTTGGAATGCCGTTGGTCTCCTCGAGAATCTCTCTTCCCTTCTCAAAATGCAAATAACGCCAGTGTAAACAAGGGGCTCCCCTTCTGAGAGACCGAATGTTGTGGTGCTCGAAAATCAAAACGTGTGCCATTCCTTGACTGTCTCATAAACACCCATCCCGCTTGTGCCGTGGACGCCGTCGTGATATATAATGTGCCTTTTTAAACGAAGCAACAAAAGTGTCTCCCCAGAAAACAAGACAGGTAGAATAAAAAGATGAACTCCATCGCGCAAAGTGAAGTGGTCTAGAAGAGCAGCTCTCTACCATCCCCGATATCCAGCAGAATACATCATGGCGGGATTAGTGTACCCACCTTGCGACTGACCACCAAACACCTGTCCGAGACCGGCATTGCTCTGTTGCTGCATATGCTGCTGAGACTGCATTCTCGCCTGCAAGATACTCGGGTCCGCAAGATCTACTAAGCCACTCCCCCCAGAGGAGGAAGTGTTAGCGTGTCTGTGCTTCTTCCCCTTCTTCTTCTGCTTTGAACCCAAGTCTTGGAAGGCTCCAGGCTGGGAACCGTAGAGCGATGCCAGGCTCGGAGCAGGAGCTGGGGTAGAGGAGGTAGAGGGTGGGTACAGTGGAGGAATGGAAGGAAACAAGAACTCACGCTTTCCCGCATCATGAACCTGGCTACCGGCACCTCGGCTGCGGTTGAGGAGCTGAAGAATCTCGTGTGTATCTTTCGTGGCGTTACCGAAAGCAGAGCCGAAACCGTGTTGCCCAAACATGCTCGGAGGGGTGCTCGTAGACTTGAGCCCGGGCGGAGGGCCGGGCATGGAGCTGGCATAGAACTGCGTGTTGGGTTGACTGTGGAAGGACGAAGGCATCATGGAGGCCTGCTGAGCCATGACCCTGGGGTTTGCCGCAAGCTTGACCGAAGTGGCAGACGTGGTTTGCCCCTCGTTCGCGAAGCTAAATCGAGAGCCCTGGCGGTTATGTCCCTGACCCTGGAAAAGGCTCGCCTGAGAAGTGATTCCGGGAGGAAGGTGATCGTAGCCTATGGCCTGCGGACGCATGAAAGCAGGCTGCTGCGGTGTCATGGTACGACTGCCAATAGAGGCAAGGTTGGTCGAACCCTGGCTGAAGCCAGACCCGATCGCCGACCCAAACAGTCCGTCGTTGTTAGCGCGTTGAATGGGCGGCTGCGCACCTCCCCGCAAATTGAAGTCACGTCCAGAATCCCGGTCCTCAGGCTCACCTCCCAAAGCAAGGCTGCCACTGCTCTCAGGCTCGGCCTCGGCTGGTTCGGTAGGTGCCGCGGAACCCTCATGCGACTCTGCAACGCCGGTGGTGACATCGTCGCGCAAAGCCCTCCGCTTTTCGCCACCCCTCACATCAAACAAAGGTGGGTAGGCAGACTCTGTGGAGTCATCTCCAAGCTTGGGCCAGGCGAGAGAGCATCCGTTGAGTGATTTGAGAAGCTTCGTAAGCGTGTCCTGTGAAGCGCTCTTAGCCTTCTTGAGAGTGGACTTGGCGGAGGTCTCAACCTTGGGTGGAGCAGGTGCTGCAACTGGAGCAGTGACGGGGGCCGGTGCCGGCGCCGGTGCAGGAGCCGGAGCTGGTGAAGCTTCTTCAACAGGAGGAGCGGGCTTTGGCGCAGGCTTTGGTGCCGATTTGGGCGACTTTTCGGTTTTGGTCTTCTGAGGAGGAGGAGGATGATGCACCGTGCTCTCGATCGGAGGGAAATCTTCGACGGCTTCTCGGTTGGATTCAGAAGTGACTGGAAGAATGTTCGAGATTGCAGGACTGGGGGCGGCGCCGCTAGTGGCATGGCTTCCACGTCGGCTACGGACCTGAGGGTTTCGCGCCCAGGTAGCTGAAGAGGGCAGCGCGGGGCCATCGCCGTTTTCGGATTCCTCCTTGCTAGAACTCCGGATCATCGGTTGAGCATTCGAGGGCGCGGGAGAGGGGTGACCCGTTTGGCGGGATGCCGACCTAGAAGCACCGGCAACCGGGAGGGGTCGTTGGCTGCTAATGCTATTGATCGAAGACAGGTCTTGGCGAGAATAGCTGTCCTCCTCGTCGCCGAGCTCGTGCAGAAACATACACTGCCTGTTCGTGCACACCTCGTGACGGAGCCAAGCTGAACAATACTTGGTGGTACCCAGTTGAGCTCTTAGGACCCTGTCGCCGTTTTGGGAGCCATTGACTGCTTGAATGCACCTGGCAGCATCCTCCTTCTTCTCGAAAGTGACGTAAATCCCGAGGGACTGATTCTGCCCGTCTTGGCTCTTCCGATTGCTGATGGATATTTTTTGGATATTGCCGTATTGTCCGAAAAATTCGGGACGCCGGAGTGTCTTGAGCAACTCGTCCTCGCGTACCGTAGGCGTCAACCCAGTTACGTAGACCAGATTCTTCTGAACGACCCGGACGCCGACCAAGTTCTTCCGATTCTCCTTTTCGGCTTCGCGTTTTTGGGCTTCCTTTTGGCGTTGCTCGGCGGCACGTCGCTTTTGGTTCTTTTGAATATTCGCTCGGAACTCGGCAACCCTAGGAACTGTCAGCACAGACGCAGAAGGTCACGGATTGCAAGCGGGATGTGGCGACAACGTACTCTTCCTGAGTGACTACCTTCCATTGAATGGTCTTGTCGTCGTATGGTCTTCTGCATGCCGGACACAGGCCATTCATATTATTTCGGATATTGTTGAAACAGAACTGGCAGATCTGGGGGTGGGGCGGCGGCGTTAGCGCTCAGGTTGAGCCAAAAGAAAAGGGGGGAAGGGGGGCTTGGAGGGGTAGGTATTCGGCCACGTACCTGGTATCCGCAGGGGCATGGTCTAAAGTTACGATCAGAGAGATCAAACTCCTCGATACAGAGAGGGCTATAGTATACTAGTTAGTCTGATGTGTTCTTGTGGACGGCCGAGGGCGTTGTGACAGGGGGTCGGCTCGAGGCTGAGGAAGGCGGAGAGAGCAGGCATGACGAGGCCATGGAGGGGCAGGGGCAGTCGTCATGGATTCGGCTGGAGAGAGGTCGAGCAAAGGTGCATACCAGGTCTCTTCTTCATCGTCGACGAAGCTATCTTGCGGCGCCATTGTGGTGACTGGAAGATGGGGTGATGGTTTGCGGTGGGAGTGACGGCAAGCTGGAGGCTGCTCCCAGGTAAACGGGGACGACTGTAAGGTGTCGTCGGGTCGAATACGGATGGATGGAATCCTTTTCCACTTGTCGGTAAGGTAGGTATTAAAATGGCCGTAAACTAGCGGCGCGAAAATTTGGTCTATGGGATAAAGAAGCAAAGGAGGACCTGATAATAACGCCCGTGGTAATGTAAGATACAGAGAATAGAGGGCCGGTGCCTCTTCTTTTTTTTTTGAGGGGGTGTGCTCGTGTCAACAAATGGGGATTATCAGAGAGAACAAAGTTGGCCGGATGTGGGTGGAAAGGAACTGCGTGGACTGGATGCGGGTGCAGGCAAGTTTGAGCACAGGTGGAAGCGAGCGAAACGCAGAGCCTTCCAGCAAAACGTCCCCGGCTGAGCGCTAGTCCTGTTCTGGAAGGAGCCAGCTGGCACGTGTCACGCCACAGTTGGAGCACTCGACAAGCACAGCAAGCTGCCAGCTGCCGCAGAGCTGCCGGAGTGGTGTGTACGACTCGGACGTTTTGATTTCGGCAGCATGAACAAGGAGAAGGGCTGAAGAGTTTCCACGACTCTGGAGACACTTTGAAGATTGCCATTGTTTCGGCAACACCACGTCGAGATTGATATTTCACGCTATGGGCAATGGGGATGCTACCTCCACCACCTTTTCAGCCTTTTGGCAATGTCCAAACATACCACGTACGCAATGTCTTCTATCAAGAATCCAAGCAGCTTCCAGGTGATCGTGCACGTGACTTTTGCGTAACCATCCTGAGGGGCCAAGCTCCCAAACGGTAGGTAGTGGGAGGTGGTACAGCGGGTTATACTACCCTACCTCGCTCCGACCTGGTTGACGGCAGGTGGTGTGCGGTTCAATCATATCGTTCCGTCCCGTTGTCGCAAGTTTACCTCTATCCTACTAGCTTGGAGTCCGAACGAAGTTTAAAGCTTCCCCTCTGAGCCACTCCTCTTTCCGTCGTCGAGGCTGCTGGCTGTTGTTGTTCCGTGATCCATTGGCACCTCCCGCTTCACAGCCTCGCCCATCTCGTTCAGGCCATCGCCAGCAACCTACAAGATGGCCAGCAAGCTCTGCAGAAGCAGGGCCCTGGCCTCTGCCCTGCGCTCCGCGAAGCCGTCGCCAGCTATCAGGTGCCTCGCGACCACCAGCCGTAACCTTATCAACATGCCCGAAGGCCCCAACCCGCGGCAGTTCCCCCGTGAGCCCCTGCCGGGCGCCCTGAATGCAGCCGTGGTCAACCCGGCCGACAAGTACCAGTCCAAGGCCGACAATCTCCACAAGTACGGGTCGTGGCTCATGGGCTGTCTCCCCAAGTACATCCAGCAATTCTCGGTTTGGAAGGACGAGTTGACCATTTACATTTCTCCCGCCGGTGTCATTCCTGTCTTTTCGTTCCTCAAGTGTAAGATATACCAGTGTTTATTGATACAAGTTGTTTGGGCGCAAAGAATGTCTGGTGAACGTCGTTTCTGTCGTGTGGTGGAGGTGGACTGGAGATAGCGACTGATTCATGATCCTTGCAGACAATACGGCGGCCGAATACACCCAAGTGAGTGACATCACTGCGGTTGATTTCCCCACCAAGGACCAGCGCTTCGAGGTCGTCTACAATCTGCTGAGCGTGCGCCACAACTCGAGAATCCGCGTCAAGACGTACGCCGACGAGGTGTCCCCCGTGCCCAGCATCACCCCCCTCTACGATGGCGCCAACTGGTACGAGCGCGAGGTCTACGATCTCTTTGGCGTCTTCTTCACCGGCCACCCGGACCTGCGCCGCATCATGACCGACTACGGCTTCGACGGCCACCCGCTGCGCAAGGACTTCCCCATGACCGGCTACACCGAGATTCGCTACGACGAGGAGAAGAAGCGCATCGTGACGGAGCCTCTGGAGATGACACAGGCCTTCCGCAACTTTGAGGGTGGGTCCAGCGCCTGGGAGCAGGTCGGAGCTGGTATCGACCGCAAGCCCGAGTCTTTCAAGCTCCCAACGCCGAAGCCGGAGACGAAGCCGGAGGAGAAGAAGTAGACGGAAAGAAACGGCATACCAAACACCACTTCGAACGCGAGATTCGGGGGAGTGGAGAAAGGTTGATAGATATTTGCTGGGTACGGCAAGCCTTCTATATCCAGCTGGTTGGTTCTGTGGGTTTGCGCTTTGTAGATAGTCTGCTCGGAGCACAGAACGAGAGCTACTACTTAGATTGGAACGGCAATACAGAACGTCCACCACAGGACTCCAATTTATGACTGACTCTGCGAGTTATTGTACGCCAAGGGGTCGCAAGTCAGCACATCAGTAGTATATGGGAATTCTGCTCATCAAATTGGAACGTTTGATGACTTTCGGTAGGCGAATTTACCTAGATTCTCAAGTCCGCAGCTATTCCGATGCTGTGGCTCTGGACGGCTAACCCACCTCTTTGTATGGAATCGCGGTAAGAGGTACCGGTCACAAAGTCAATCTATGAACAGGAAAAGGCAAGCACTTCAACCAAACCGACCCCGAGCTTCCCAGCAGCGTAGGGCCGTAGTATGTGGCCGAGCTATCCTCGTACGAGCTTTGCGTCGCGTTGCGTTGTTTCCTTTTGCTCTCCACGCCATGAGTAAGAGGAGTGGGCGCCATTGCTGGGGAAAATCGATACACATAGACATCTACACTAGACTGGAGCTTCGTAGGTGAGTTGGAAGGAGCGGAACGGCTGAGACAAGGAACAAGTCCAGAGCACATCGATGTCGTTATGGCTGTTCATCCACCCATTGACGTACCTTGGTCAATGTGAACTTCCTTCATGGTGTCTAGAGGGTGACATGCAACTGCAGAGGTGAGCTTCGCTCGTGTAGGCAATATTGCCACCTTCCATCTCAAATCGATCACTAACAAGGCAATAATTAACTGTCCACCTAATTACAAACAGCCATTGTTATTCCCTGAAAGGGAACCCTAAAGCATGTTATTCATCCTGCCTAGCAAACAGTAAGCATCAAACTTGGCAACCGTAACCTCGGACCTCCGAACCTACCTCTAGGTACATACGCAGTTGCAGAAGTGAGCTTCACTTGTATAGAAAGGGTAACTGGTCATAAGGATGAAAGTAAATAGATAGGAACTCCAACTTGGGCCCTCTCAGTAGATATTTAAACTACTCAATCCCCCCTCTCAAATCCTTCTCCTCCCTACTAAATAACATTCTTTCTATTAACTTCCTCCTACTCTCGTTATTCCAAGCAATATAATTGTGCAATCATTGTCAAGACGTATAAAAAAACAACGTCTGCATACCTATTTGCCGACTGGGCGTCACCAAGAGTTTTGCCCGATTCAAGCCAACAATACAGGTATGTTTCTTACTTACTATTCTACTTTCTATTTTCCTGTTTCTCCAACTCCTTTCTAACATAATAGTAAATGTCGCAGAATGAACGATACAATCTTGCCCCTGCCAATTACCATGCCATACGATAGTAACCCTAGTGTCCAATGGTACATTTGGCTCCTTGCAAGTATTGCTTGGTGTGCAGTGGGCTCTCTGTGGTTTTGGCACCGGTCTGAAACGGTTTGGACCTGGCTAAATGGTTCTATCGATACGTTTCACCAAGAGCAGCCAATTACCCGACGCTCTCGGATCACCACAAGTTGTTTCGTTTCATTTGTGGTCGTCGCCATGTGGCCCTTGGAGATCTTGATCTCCACCATTTGGTCGAAGATAACTCACGCGACAAATCACCAAGGACCATCAAAAGAACAACCAAGAACACCACCAGAAGAACCCCAAGCAGCACCCCCGCCACCCTATGATGTTGCAGGTGCCGCCGCATAGGTTCTTGCTGAGAGGCGGTTGGTTTCGACAGTAACAGTTTGGTCTGGAGGCTGGTTACACTGATCAATGTAGCGAATTTTGGCACACGAAACGAAATTTGGAAGGAAAAACAGCGTGTTTTTTGCGCCTCCCGTATTCTGGTGTCGCGATTTTAGGCTTGGGATGTGACATGATGTGATGAGAGGTGATGTTGTTCTTGAAAGCGACGTCGAGGTGGGAGAGGAGCTTCGACTTGGGAAGAAAGTGTGGAAAGTGGATTACGATCCCTGAGAAGCGGCCATGGCAGCGTGGCTTGGTACCAGAATCTCATGCTACGAAATTTCACACACGGGGTAATAAAACAAGATATTGTTCCAAGTCATCATCTCATTCATCCAAAAAGTCAACGCTGAACAGGTAGCTAGCTAGCTTACAGCCGCTGTTCCTCTCTCATCATACATCCTCCATGCATGCCAAAAGTGCCATATACAAAATCCAATGCTACCAAACCCAACCAAAAAAAGCACCGCGGTTATACAAAAGCCAGTTCCCTATCGTTTTGTGAACACGCGCCCCCAATGATACTATGTGCGGGTATAAAATGTACAAAGCAAGAAAAAGGGATTCTTTTTTCTCTCTTCTTCATCAACGATCAACCAAGCCAAGCCAAAGACATTGCTTAGACCTTGCCCTTGAAGCCCTTGGGAGCAAGGTTGACGTTGTACTCGAGCTCAAGAACGGCCTTCTCGTCACCCTCAAGAGGCTTGAAGGTCACAACGAGATCATCCTTGACAGCGAAGACGGTGTCGTTGGTGATCCAGGGGTCGTCGCTGGGGTAGAGCTGAGTGGTGCAGCCCTGGTACTCGGGATGAGTAACCATGATGTGGATGTGAGCGGGGCGCATGGGGTGGCGGTCCATGAGCTGGAGGAGGGCATACGAGGGGCCGTCGGTGGGCAGACTGTAAGCAGTCGGGTGGAGGCAGTAGAACCAGTACTCGCCCTTCTCGTTGGCCTTGAACTTGCCGCGCAGGTTGTTGGGCGTCTGGTTCTGAGGGTCCTGGAAGTCGTACTTGCCGTTGGCGGAGGCTTGCCAGATGTCGAACACGGCGTTGGGAATGGGCTGGCCCGTGGTGATGTCGCGGATGACACCGTGCATCTTGGTCACGCGGCCCTTGGGAGGGACACCGTCCTGGATGATGGAGCCACCGTTCTCGCGGAAGGGGGCATTGGGGGACCAGAAGGGCCCGAGGATGGAGGACGAGGTGGGCTCAAGACCCTCCTCGACGACAATCTTGTGGGCGATCTCATCAACAAGGCTGAAGAGGAAGTTGTTAGTATGGAAGTTCTTGAGTTTATTGGATCATCTGTGAGAAAGCAAAAAAACTTACGTCTCAAGACCCAAGATGTCGGAGAGACGGTGGGCCTCGTTACGGGTCTGGCCAGACTCGCTGTAGACGCGGCCGACCTCATTAATGTACTTGACACCAGCCATCCACTCGTCCATGGTGAGCTCAACCTCGCGAGCGAAGTCGTGGATGTGACGGATCAGAGCACCAAGAACCTGACGGTTGCGGGGAGTGGTGTTGGGGCCCATGCCGTCAATGACATTCTGGGTGAAGTTGGGGTCGAATCTGTGAGAAGCCATCTTGCCTGTTGTGGTGATGATGACGATGATGAAAACACTGGAATCAACAATACGGAGAGGATCAAGAGGATAAAAAGGATGGAACAGGCAGATCCAAACTTGTAGGTAGTTTGATGACAATTACAATGAGAAAAGAAGAAGGGGGACAGCCGGAGCAAGAGGTTCCTCGAAGAATGTTATATACAAATGGGACTATACAGAGCAGTCCGTCACCGTAGTGTACAACTGGGATCTCTCTTTCCCTCGACGCACACCCTGGATCTTCATGGCATTGTGAATGGACGCAACATGATAGGATCGCACACGCCCCAGGTGCCCAGGTGCCCGGATGGTGCCATGTGCCTCCATGTTTCCCCGCTGCCCTTTGAGAGCTCTGGATCCGGACGGACTTGCGGCAGGTTGAGATTCCTATGTCGGTCACTGTGGGTGTGATGTGAGTGTGGGGTTAATGGTTATGGAGAAACGGAGGCAAAGCGGGAGAAATATAGCCCTGCGTCACGGTAGCCCCTAACCCTGGATCTTCAAAACTGCTGCCGGTTCGCTGCCGGGATGGTCGCGTTGTCTCAGCTTGCAAAGAATTCCCGGTACTGTAGCTTCCAATATCAATCAAGGCAACAAATTTGTTCCTGAATTGAGTTCAACCCTTGCTCGACTGCGGTGAATCACTCGAGACATCGAGAACTGCTGATCTGGCATGCTTGGAGGCGATCTCGACTTTTTCCAAACGGTGTGAATCTTATGTCCGTCTTGGCAACAATCGTGCGGCTAATGTCTAACAATTGCCCGCGAATCCACTCTCCAGATCTCGGCATTGAGGAGCATGAGGAGAAAATATACTATCATAGGAGGTTTGTTGACGATAGTGTATATCTTCAACCATTAGCCTTCCCAGCATCATCACAAGGTTCAGATGCCGGTACCTATCCATCAACTCCAATCCTCGATATATTGGATCTGGTTGCCTATCATGTCGGTAACCAATTGGTTGCCTACTGTAGCAGTAATAGCCGTCTCCATTGTAGGCTGTGTTCCAAAGTACAACAAACACTAACACTCGAGGTGCCGTGTATACAGCATTGTATGTAATGAGTTCACTTTTCTGGCAATGAATGAATGGGATGGGTGAGCCTTTTCCCGCCCAGCCTGTCATTGCCCGTGCAATGACCGGACGCAGCAAGGTTCCCATGACAGCCCCCCGGGGCTCTGGAACGGGGCATCGGGGTTCCGGTTTTCATCCGGCGGGCAAGGGAGGCCTGGTCTCCCTCCCAATCGACTTTCGGGGCGTTCTGGGCCTTGCAGAGGCGGGCATGGAACAATGGTCACTGGTCGCTACAGATGGGAAAAATCCCACACAAGTCCGCTGCGGCCGCTGGGAAGAAATCCTTCTGAAATCTACCGTTGCCGCTTTCCGAGTCCCGACCTCGTGCCCGTGTAAACATTCTCCCCACCATTGGATACCGAAAGCTGGGGACCAAGTGGGGGGCAGAACGAAACTAACACCAGCGTTTTCCCAATGCCGGTCGCAGCTCCATTCCATGTGTAAACGATCGATGCAACCCCCGTCTCGCGACAGCCGGGCAATCATGTCGGATCTCGAGGTTGGGGGATGGGATGAACTTCCGTCAAGGTCCTCGAGATATCCCCATTTCTCAACATCGTTGTTTCGCGCTTCGTGATCCTACGCCGACGTGAACTTTCCAGGTCGCAGTCGCAGTCGCAGTCGCTTCGCCTATTTCTCCCAGTTGACGTCATTCCAAGATGCCCCTCCATCATTTGATGATTGGTACCTGGACCCCGCCAGGTGCCATCTTCACTGTCCAGTTCGACGACGAGAAGCTCAAATGCAAGCTCATCAAGAGAACAGAAATTCCTCAGGATGAGCCGATATCATGGATGACCTTTGACGTATGAGATCCATCATCAAATGTCCACGAGTACTGCGACTTTGCCTGCTCACAATGGAGATGGGAATAGCATGAGAGGAAGAACATTTACGGCGCTGCCATGAAGAAATGGAGCAGCTTTGCCGTCAAGAGCCCGACTGAGATTGTCCACGAGGCATCGCACCCCATCGGTGGTCACCGTACGTTACCAAAACTCCTATGTCACGACCCAATGTTCTCGGACTAAATGACGTGTTTGTGTGTGTATACAGCCAGGGCCAACGACGCCGACACCAACACGCGCGCCATCTTCCTCCTCGCAGCCAAGCAGCCCCCCTACGCCGTTTATGCGAACCCCTTCTACAAGTTCGCCGGTTATGGCAACGTCTTCTCGGTCTCCGAGACCGGCAAGCTCGAGAAGAACGTCCAGAACTACGAATATCAAGAAAACACTGGCATCCACGGCATGGTGTTCGACCCGACCGAGACCTACCTCTACTCAGCCGACCTGACCGCGAACAAGCTCTGGACGCACCGCAAGCTGGCCTCGGGCGAAGTCGAACTAGTCGGCTCCGTCGACGCTCCTGATCCGGGCGACCACCCTCGCTGGGTTGCCATGCACCCCACGGGCAACTATTTGTATGCCCTGATGGAGGCCGGCAACCGCATCTGCGAGTACGTCATCGACCCGGCCACGCACATGCCCGTGTACACGCATCACAGCTTCCCGCTGATCCCACCGGGCATTCCCGATCGGGACCCCGAGACCGGCAAGGGCCTCTACCGCGCCGACGTGTGCGCGCTGACCTTTAGCGGCAAGTACATGTTTGCTAGTTCGCGGGCGAACAAGTTCGAGCTGCAGGGGTACATTGCGGGCTTTAAGCTCAGGGACTGCGGAAGCATCGAGAAGCAGCTGTTTCTTAGCCCGACGCCGACGAGCGGTGGGCATAGCAATGCTGTTAGCCCGTGCCCGTGGAGTGATGAGTGGATGGCGATCACGGACGATCAGGAGGGCTGGTTGGAGATTTATCGGTGGAAGGATGAGTTCTTGCATAGGGTTGCGAGGGTACGGATTCCGGAGCCAGGGTTTGGGATGAATGCCATTTGGTACGATTAGATGGAATGCTGTTCTCTCGTTTTGATGTAGGAATGATGTTGGGTGTACCCCCCGAAGGATGCGCAAGAGGTAAGTAGCGAAAGATGCCTTACATATCAGCCAGTAACAACATGCTTCTATCTATGATAATGAAATTGAAAAGGACTGAACTCGTAGACAGCGAATGATTCAAGCATGCAATTGGGAAACAAGTTGGGCATAAAAAGTCTTCCATTATATCACTGCCAAAACTTTTCGGTCTTTGCTGTAGTGGTGAACTAACGCAAAGCCGTGGTTGACGAGGTTTGTCCCAAGAGCTTTACCAGCCCACTGTGTCTGACTGTCTGACATATATGAGTACAGTTATTTGAGCCTCTACTCATCAACAGGGATTGTAGTATAGTGGTCAGTACTTCTCGTTGTGGTTCTTTGCACACAACGATCCGAGAGGACCCAGGTTCGATTCCTGGCAATCCCACTCTTTTTGCGCATTTTGCATGAATGGTCCTGCAAACCTCTTCTCTTTTTTTTTTCCTTTTTTTTTTTTGTAGTCTCTTCAGACCTTCTTTCTTTGCATAAATATCCGCTATTGGTCAACAGAAAACATGAATGTAGGCTCGAGGTAGGTTAGAGAAAAGGTTGTGATGGTATAGTTGGTTTGTTTGTTAGTTTAGTGATGGTTCCTCGATCACGAGTTGAACAGGAAAGTTTTGGAGCTGTTAAGTTATTAGCCTTTGAACAGACAGAGAAAGTGTCCTCTGTTTAAAGTGACATGGCAGAATGGCCAAGGTCTTGTGAGTTACAGAAAGCCTTGGTAAGGTATCCTCTCATCCCTCTCTCCGTCTTCTTCGAGACCTTCAAGGCTGGAAAGTATTAGTTTTACAGCGTTGCTCAGGTCTGGATTGTCACTGTGAAAATGCATCATGAGTCTTTGTAAACGGAAAGTTTAGGTAGTTTAGTTCCCGAAGGCTATGGTCGGTTCAGTTGTCACCCATCTCCAAAACGTGCTTTTTTCAAATGTGTTGTATTACACTGGTGGACTGAAGGAAGGTTTCGACATTTGGAAGTTGTGTTTCCGTCATTTGCCATGGCTAATATGATATGCAGCACGTTCAATCCACAATGACCTTTCTTCCCGATAGAATGGAACAATGTGCGTTAACGTATCCTAGAGAACCGCGTTGCACGATGACGGATTTAGGTTCCAGCAAAGATACTATAGAGGGTATATGGTCATCACTACTTTCCTCCTGATCAACATTACTTCCAAAAAGCAGATGTCTCTCCATCCTCCCCTGGATTCCATACTACATAGCACACAGCCCTCACCCGATCGATCCTAACTATGTAGCCGCCTGCCTATACGGCTCATACTTAGCCGGCCCATGGGGATCATTCTCCGCCAGATCCGTCGAGACGAAGTAGTGGTCATGCTGCGAAATGCGACTCACGCGCCTAATCTGCCTCGGCTTCCACCATAGAAAATAGGCCAACGCTCCCGCAGCGGCCAAGACAGCGACCGGAATACCAACACCTAGCCCAATCTTGAGACCGTTACTACTACTAGAGCCGCTGGAGTCACTACCAACGTCTCCCTTGGAACTTGCAACGGGTGGAGCAGCTGGCGTTGTCGTCGGCGCAAATGAGGTCTGGCTGGAGGTCAGGGAGGTTGATGATGGGGGGCCATCGGTTATCTGGGTGGTAGTTCCTGTTCCTGTGGCGGATGCTTCTACGGTGCTGACCCTCGTGGACGCGATGCTGAGTGATGGAGTTCCCGTGAATGTCGTGTCAGACACTTGTATAATGGTTTGCACCAGGCCAACACTGATGGTGAATGCACTGCTATCTTTATCGTTTGATGAACAGTCACATTTTCCTTCGTTGAAGTCTGCCGCACAGCAGAATCGGTCGTTTCCACAGGCAGCTAATTCGCCCCTGCGGTTTCCGTTTTCTATTGAATGAAAGCAAGGTGAATGTTAGTAGGTTGTTGGACACTGACACTGACCGTCAGACAGCCTTGATTGGACCTACCAAGGCAAGCACTCCCGCAGATATAGTTGTTCCATTGAGGATTTGTACAAGCTCCTCGCTGCACCGCGCCCAGAGTCAAGTTGGGAAACGAGTTGCTTTCTGTCGTCGCGATGCAGAGCGCATTGCTGAAACATGTCCACCCTGCCGGACAGCAAGAAGAAACTGGAGCGTTGAAGGCCTGGCAAGCAAAGTAGCCTGGTGCGAACTCGCCACCAGGAAAGTAACACGGCGCATTTGGGTCGGCTCGTACTTGTCGCGCTTGTGCCGCTAGGTATACAAGTATCGCGAAGAGGGAAGATGTAGTAGGAATCATTGTTACGAGTAAACTTGTAGGAAAGAACAACAAAAAAAAAAAAAAAAAACGGGAAGAGGAAGAGATTGACAGAGTTATCAGGAAATGCAAACTCGATAGAAGTGAAAATACAACCGTGGGCGCCACAACGGCCTACCCATACTTATCAAGTGACCAGCAACACCGTGAGGCTGGCAATTGGGTTATGCCAGGGCCTCTTCAGCTCGACCTTCGCATCGACGTGATTGCATTAGACAAGCAATAGCCTGAACCGCAGGGCAGCACACCATCGTCGAGAAGGCTTCCCGTCGTTCTTGATGGATGAGGATTGGTGCCATACTCCTTCACCTATAGAGCTCCCCTATCCGGCCTGTTTTGTTGCACAGGCGGGGCGGTTGAGGCAATATTTCAGAAAGCCCATGGCAAATTGAGAGCGGTTCGAAATAGCAAAAAAACACAGCCTGTGATGGTGTCTCCAGAAGCGCTTTGAGTTGCTGAATTGGAGTTGATCCAGGCAAGCCACTTAGCTTGGCAGGCCGCGAGATGGTCGCTGCAGCTTTTCGGAGCTCAGTTGGCTCGTTGAATGGAAGAGTTGGACTTTCAGCCCGGTTCCCTTTTCATTGATAAGAAGGTGCAGAAGCTACTTTTGCTGAGCAGTTCGCTTTGAGGTCATCGAAGCCGTCTGAGTGTCGTCGGCGGAAGTGAAGATAGAAATCCACAAAATGTGATGAATATTGGAGTCGAAAGAGAAGCTCTCTCCGAGTTCGGGGCTAGCTCCCTAGCTTATCCGTGGGTGCTCATGTTTAACATGGAAAGGACCCTGAACCGAGCCGTGTCATCACTGCTGTTTTGACGGGCATTCTCTCAAGAGCGCCAAATCGAAAAAGAAGCATCAAGAGGAAACGGGTGAAGTATTTCATCAAAGTAAATAAAAGATTTTGAGACTCCCTTGTCTGCATCGGTGGAAAGAGTGAGCGGTTGGTAGCATTGCGGGGGACCAATCGAAGTGGGAAAAAAGACAAAAAAGGCAGTCATACGTCAACAGCTTCGCCGCTACAGAATCAGTGCGGGGAACATTTGACAGCCAGAATCCCAAGTTCAACCACTCAACAACAACTTGGACTGAATACGTATTCCGGTTACGGATTGAAAATTCCCCGAGGTTTATCGATCCTCTCGCGGCTGTATGACTGTGGATAAGATTAAACAACCGAAAAAGGCGTTGTCCCATAATTTCTACTCCAAAATTCTCTTCGTTTTCTCCCTCATCGTCCTCATCCTGGCTATCTTCAGTTCCCGCATCTCCTTTCCCCGGCTTTCCCTCATTGCAAGTCATTTGACCGGCAGTGCCAACACAATCACAGCAACCAGCCGCTCAACCGTTGCAACTACATCTACACAGAAGATGGCCTCTTCCCAGTACGCAAAGGAGCTCGAGGTAGCTCAGCTCGCCGTCCAGCGGGCCGCCCGCCTCACCAAGCGCGTCTTCCACGAGAAGGCCAAGGGCACCGTTTCCAAGGACGACAAGTCCCCTGTGACCATTGGCGACTTTGGCGCTCAGGCGCTCATCATCAGCGCCCTCAAGGCCAACTTCCCTTCGGACGAGATCGTGGCTGAGGAGGAGGCCGCTCAGCTGCGCGAGGACACCCCCCTGCGGGACCAGATCTGGGAGCTCGTCAAGTCCACCAAGCTTGACGATGAGGCTGCCGAGCAGCTCCTTGGCGGCGCCATCAAGGATGCCGACGCGATGCTGGAGATCATCGACCAGGGCAACAGCAAGGGCGGCGCCAAGGGCAGGATATGGACTATCGACCCCATCGACGGCACCAAGGGCTTCCTGCGCGGTGGACAGTATGCCGTGTGCTTGGGGCTGATGGTGGACGGTGATGTCAAGGTCGGCGTCCTCGGCTGCCCGAACCTGCCTGTGGACGACGCTGCGCCGTTGACTGCGGATATCGGCACCAACGCGACCGATGAGGGCCGGGGTGTCATCTTCTCGGCTGTTCAGGGCCAGGGCGCGACTAGCAGACCCCTGGGCACCGCCGGTCTTGCGGAGGGCAAGTCCATTGCGATGAAGCCTATCACAGAGATGTCCAACGCGAGCTTCTGCGAGAGCGTGGAGGCGGGTCACTCGGATCAGGGCGTGGCTGGACAGATTGCGCAGAAGCTCGGGATCACCAAGCCTAGTGTGCGCATGGATTCCCAGGCCAAGTACGGGTCTATTGCTCGCGGCGCGGGTGATATCTACCTCCGTCTGCCTACTTCCAAGTCTTACCAGGAGAAGATCTGGGATCACGCTGCTGGAGATCTGATTGTGCGTGAGGCTGGTGGTCAGGTTACCGACGTGAGTGGAAACCGCCTGGATTTCAGCGTCGGCCGCACGTTGGCTGAAAACAAGGGTGTCATTGCGGCGCCTGCTGCGGTCCACGACCAGGTCATCAAGGTCGTTCAGGAAGTTCTCGGGCAGCAGTAAAGCCTCATGTCATAGTGTACAGGTTATGGCAGGTATCGGGCCGTAAAGAGGCCATGTGTGTGCCAAAAAATAATAGACTAAATGTACAATATTCCCCCCTTATCATCATCAACAACCATATCAACCACCAAAACCCACCGCGCGTCCTCTATTTGATCTTCTTCTGCTTCAACTTGATGGTCTCGCCGTTGACAAAGATACCCTTACCCTTGTAGGGTTCCGGTACACGCCACCTCCTGATATCAGCGGCGAAGGTCATGACCTGCTCTCTGTTGATGCCCTCAAGCAGGATTCTTGTCGGCTGCGGCGTGCTGGCCTTCATGCCCTTGGGAACGCCCATCTCGACGGGGTGGGAGAAGCCGAGCTTGAGGCAGACGAACTGCTGGCCGGGGTATTCCTCCTTCTCGGGGCGGGTGTCGATTGTAGCTCTGTAACCGATACCGACCAGGCGCAACACGGCCGTGTGACCTTCTGATACACCCATAATGAAGCGGTTAAGGTACGCCCATGTCGTTCCTGTTTTGACCAAGAAAGATTCGAAATCGTCAGCTGACTGGCCGCCTGTAACTTTCCACATTCCCCAAGACAAGGAAGGTGTTTGCCATACCCCACATCTCTCTCTGCTCCTTCTCATCCCGGTTTGCTACGCTGAGAGTCGCTCTCCTCGCCTCGGCGTCGTGGTCGATCTTGATGAAGTCGGGAATGTCCATCTCGAGTTGCCCTGCGAAAAGCACAGCGCACACGTGCAACAAGTCAGCCAACTGCTCTATTCCCATCCTAATCCCCCTATGCACTCTCGCACAAACACCCATAATCCATGTTCTCTCTCGCGCTTCATCCAGCCCATACGTTGCGCCAGTGCCAGTTTCGTCGCGAATCCTCCAAGAAAAACCCCAACGAGTCTTTCTTTCAAGTCCGAGTTTGGAAAAGAACGAACTAACCCAACGGGCCCTGCACCGTAATCTTGCGCTTAGGCTGCTGCTTCCACTGCGTCATGTCGCGCTTGACAAAGGGCTCGCCAATGGTGATCTCGACGCCAGGAGGGATGCTGAGCGGGGTGCGGCCAAGCTTGGACGGGCGGGTTGTCGTCGCGGAAAAGTTGCGCCGGGCGGCGGCACCGGCAGTCTGTTGGAAGGCGGGCACGAGGAAGCCGGGGAGTGTGACGACGGAAGAAGATGAGGAAGAGGCAACGGCCTCAAGGACCCTCCTTCGGCTTGGGGCGAACATTGTGGTGAGCGTCGTCGTCGTCGGCGGGGTGGCTGGCCGTCGTCGCGATGCGGAACCGGAATTGGCGAAGAGACGCGGCGCTCCAGTTCGGAGGTTCTGGCAGTCGCAAGGGCAACACCGAGTCAATGGCAGCCGGCCGGGTGGTGGGATGAACCGAGTGGATCTTCGGAGAGCTCCAAAAAATGTATCGGACCTGACGCGGCACAGCAATGCAGCTAGTGATTGGCTGCAAGTATACCAGGGTTAGGGTCGTATCCGCCTAGTCTCTCTGCTGCTAGTCGCTTAGGCTAGGAAACGACGACAAACACCAACAGATGTGATTCCATCCGACATCATTCATCTCGAATAAGAAATCTTCCAAAAGAAATTTCACAGGGCGTGAAAGTGTGGAGACTACTCGATGGAACATATTGTTTCACAATATTCAGATTGAACGTCAAACTCCCGTTGACAATCGTCCAGTTTTCCGATGACGACTTTACGGATGCCAACCTCACGACAGTCATCACCACCCAGGACACCCGTCACGGTCGAAGTCTTCCAAACTGTCTCAAGCGAGCTGTTTGCACTTTCTCGATACCGGATGAAAAGATGCAGATTCCAGTGATGTCAAGACAAGTGGTCTACATCCCAAATCTTTGTCTAGGCTCGCTTCTGTTGGAGAGGACAACGCCATATCAGACGATTGAGAGCCAGCAAAAGTCGAGCTCGACAGACAACCACAATCATCTTCGATGCGAACTCCAAGTGGAGTCAAATGAATGGAAACCTTCGTAAAGATTGAGAATCCAGTGATTTTCTTCCAGTTAAATTCAAGTTCGCTTCTCTTATCTTGGGCAGTCGCGATCGCCAGCTTACCCTCACATACCTTCCTTCCCTCTCTTGAATCGCTCCTTCTCTTCAGAAACACCACACAATTTTCAGTTGCAAGGCCACAAACTTCGATCGCCAAAATTGCACTACCAATATTGCCAGAATTTCCATTTCTTATTGCCCAAGTCCCTTCGACGGCACTCTTCTGGACGCATCTGACTCTCTCGAAATATCATCATCAGTCTGTCGCATCTCGCTCACTCGGTAACTATGGTCATGGCTCTTCTTTTCACGGCTCTCTGTGCCGTTACAGCTACACCTTCTCTGGCCTTTTCGTGGGGAGGTGAAAGAAAAGTGCCAGTTCGTAAGTAATATCAGAGCACTGCCTGCAGGGCTTGACTAATAATATGACCACAACACAGCCGACCATCAAGTCAACATCGACCGCAACATCCAGCCTTCGGATCTGCTTCGAGAGTCCTCACGCCTGCCAAACATCTACGCCGTCGCTCTAAGTGAACTTCAAGAACTCGAATCAGAACCGTTTTGCCATCGTGTGGCCGCCCGACTCCTAGTCAACAACTGCCAGTTAGTAGACGGAAAGAACGACGCCACAATCCTCACAGACACTGGTCGACAAGTTCGCGACTTTGTTGATTCCTACGCTGCCAGTCTAGCGATATGTGATTTGGAGCGAGGCAGGTTCAACATCCCGGCGCAATGTGCCAAGTTTCGGGAACCGGCCCTGAGTCAGATTGTGATCCGGGACCAAGCACAACTCCACGTCAGCAGTCATGAAATCGACCACTGTCTGTCAGCCATGAAGTCGTCAGATGCTGCGTGGAATACGTGGATCAGTTATCGGCACAAGGCTTTGCGGTTCTGTGAGGCGGCCAGAGCGGATAACGAGAAAGGTATGGTATCTGGATTAAGATACACCATTCAAAGTCGTGGCTGACAGTGATCTACAGCACAAAACATTCTCCTTTATCAACGACTCACCAATGTGATGAAGAACCTTACAGAAGGCGTGGAAGCTCAGCTTCAGAAGCGAATGAATCAACTTGACCTGCGAACACAACAGTTAATCAATAATCTCGATAACCTCACACCACAGATCGATAAACTGAGAGATGGGCTTGCCATGGTTCATGAATTCTTGGCGACTGATGTTGAAGCAACACTCCGAAAGTCCTCTGCCTCCCTACACGACAGCCAACAACAAGCCGAAGACCTGCAGAAATTGCTCAACCTACTGCTTACTGGTGTTCTCGAGGGCCACTCACGAGTAGCCCATGTGCACGAACATGCCCTTCAGCAAGTCTCCGCCCGAGCCAACGATGGTATTGGAGCCCTAGTTGCGGTGGTTGCCACAGCCGCAGCATCAACCACCGCACTACAACAGCAAATTGTAGGCCATCTTCCTTACAGTAACCATCGCATACATCGTGGCTAACCCTAAACAGGAACTCTCCAATCAACAAGCCGCTGCACTAGCCCTCCGTCAAGACAACCTCGAGCAAGGAATGGACCGCCTCCTCGCCGTCACCGAGACCCTAGCCACCAAATACGAGGACCAAACACAAAGACTCCAACAAGCCTCCAACATCACCAACGAGATTCTCGACATACTGGAGGACACCGCGGAAGCGGCATCGTCTGTAAACGAATCCTTTTTGACCGGTGCTTCCTCGCGCAGCTGGTGGCCCTACATTGTTTGCCCTACCGCTTCTCTCGTCATGGGATCGTATGGCCTACCGCCCTCTGCTGTTCGTAACCTCGCACTCTTGGCGCTCGGCGAGGTGGCTGGGTTCATGATTTCGTCGTATGAGCAGATTGCTGGTGCTTTGCAGTCTTTTGAAGGCCCTCTCTACTCGTCGGTTTGGGAAGCGTCTGCAAACACGACTGCATCGCCCTATGAAATTTGATGCTAGTCTGGGAGTAATTTGAGGTGCATATATTCTTACTCAAGAAGAAGCGTGGAACCATATGCTTGCGATCTGTTCACACACGCTACCTTTGGTGGTATCAATCTCTGGTTGTTGGGGGATGAGACAGGCCACGGTGACTTGGTTCAATCTAGGAGAGAGTTGGGGGAAATAAGAGTCTGAAGATAGTCCTTCATATGGGCAAGCGGCATATTTTAGGTTGCGTATAGTCGCTAGGAAAATTACGCGTATTTATATCCCAGCAATTTGAGCAATGCACCGGCACAAAGCCTAGCATTTGAAGCAAGTAGACGCAAAAAGTTAGGTAGCTGTTATAGAGGTTATCATCATCTCCTTTCTCACAAGTTTGTTTTAGTGCGCATAGGTAACAAAGAATCGAGCAATACCTCCATTTGTAACTGATGATCATCGCAGACATACTTTGCCTCCTCCAAACCTCAGAACCCAGAACCTACTCACAACACAACAAACAACAGACTCCCAGCAACCGCAGCCATAGCCGACATCCCAACACCCAACCACTCTGCACAACTCCCACTCCTCTTAGCACGCATTGGGGCAGCGGCACTATCGCTATCCCCGTTGACATTTCCACTCCCACTCCCCCCATCAGCACCTTCCTCATCTTTAACCTCCCCCACCTGCTTCAAAACCCACACATCCCCCTTATCGTCATCCGTCATCCAGATCCTTTCTTGCTCATCAACTGCCAGTCCCACCGGCCTAAAACACTGCTCCGGACACTTGCTCACATCCCGATTCCACATGATATCTACAAGACTGTTCGTGCTATCGCTTGCCTCTATCGGTTCCCCTTTGCTTGTATCGAACCGCACAGCGGATAACTTGTACCCGGCGGGAGTAGAGCGGTCCCAGCTTCCGTGGAAAGAAATGTACGCTAGACCTAGACTTTGATTGCCATTGCCGTTGCTGAACTTGATGTCGAGAGGGGCGGTGTGTGCGGGGAAGGTGAGGCGGGGAGGGATGAAGTTGGTGGAGGAGCAGGAGGTGTCGGAGGTGGTGATGTTGATTGGTTTTACTTGTGAGGAGGAGGAGTCGGATGATGGCAAAAAGGGGATAGAGTAGGGCGTCGAGTCGTGGGTGAATTGGGAGCCGGTTTTGAGATTTCCTAATGAGGGGAAGGAAGGGGTGGCAGATGAGTTGTAGAGGGCGAGACAGTAGGGGTAGCCGTGGTTTCCGCCTTGCTGTTGTCCTTGGCCGGAAGAAGAGGATCGATTAGAGGGGAAGCGGAGGACACCATGATAGTTCATTTCTTCTCCGGGACTGTCTTCGTGGATGTCCACGCCAAAGCGCTTAATACCATCCGCGCTGTTCTCGACACTGTAGATGCCGCCTGTGTTGGGCTCCTCGGCTACTCCGACCGAGTTACGCAAGCCCCAGCCGATGGTCCAGCCTTCGCTGGGGTAGTCGTATACTTTGCCGCCGCCGCCGGGTGTTCCTAGGTTGGGATCGGAGATGTCGAAGGCTCGGATCTGTGAGATGCCGGAGGAATGGTCGGTGGCGCCGTTATCGATGTTGCTCCCGCTGCCGCGCGAGACGAGCAGGATTCCGGGCTGTTTGCGTGAGATTAGGAGCGTGCGGGTGGAGTGGCCGCCGCCCGCGTTAGTCATGTTGCTGATGAGCGTCTTGGGAGATTTCTCGTCGCTGACGCGGATGGCGTCTGCGTCGTATGCCCAGCTGTAGACCGAGTTGGAAGAAGAGGCGTAGAGGGTTTTTCCGTCGATGGAGAGTTGGATGCCGTGATTGAGCTGTTATAGATTTAGTCTTTATTTCATGTTGTTTTGTAAAAGGTGACGGCCGGTCAGGACGGAGAGCTCATCTTACATCACTCATCGACACAATTGTCGTGGTCTTCTCCACAGACAAACACGGCCATCCATCGTCCTTGATAACCAAGTGTGTGATCCCCTTACCTGCTTCAACGACCAGTAGCCTTCCTTTCGAATCGACGATGACGCCTCTCGGCTTCTTGAGTCCAGTAGCCACGAGCCGGGCTTCAAATCCATTACGGACTACGGGTGCAGGATATGACGCAGGCACGGGCGCCTGGCATGTCGACGCTGCTGCTTGAACCGAAGTACTGGAGAGCCAGAAGGACAAAGAGGGCAACATCAGTGCCGTGAACTTCCAAGTACCCCAAAACATCTTGGACATGAAGCTGTTGGTAGGAATTGGCTTAAGTTGAGAGGATATCTGCGCATACACACATGTGCAAGTCAGTCTCTAATCTAGGATTTATCTTGATGCCTGGATGTAAGTGGCGTGTTGTTGGTAGGTTGCGCCATGAGGCAATGGGAAGCAAAAGTATACCAAATTCGCCCGGTTTAGTTGCTTTTAGACAACGGGGGCGAAGTTCTCCTATTTGGCAAATTCAGGGTGTTTCTAACTGCCCCGATAATGAAAATATGAAGAAGTTCTCTGTTGCTGTCGGAAGGGTACAGAGTGGTAAAGTAACATCAAATAAATCAAAATGGACGAGCATAGACGACTGCGAATGGGTACAGCACTGCGAGTATGAAGAGAGATAAATGTACCTTGAGGATTCTCTGGATCCTCCGTCGCAGAAAAGTGATCGATTGGCAAGATACCCGTGTGGTTCCTCAACCGAATAGGTGTAGCGGTAAGGAGGTTGTTGTACTTGTGTTCAAAGATATGTCTGAAAGTATGTAGTAGGTGATGTCATTTGCGTTCCAGACTCAGCTCGGGAAGGAGGTGTTCTGCCTCGACTGACATGTTGCTGTCTTGACCCAGTAATAGGAGCGGGAGCAAAGGGTCGTCGGTCATCCGGAATAGGAAAGAAATATCTTGGCCTGCGCTTCAGAGATAGAACCTCAGCCACGCCATGCTACGGTTGAATTTCTGACGAATTGCCAGTTACAACAACCGATGAAGATGAGGGGAAGCATCATGTGCACAAACTATGTGTGAGGCATACCATGTCTCGAATTTCGGACTGAAAATCCTCACTTGTGACCCCTTTAATCATAATGAAACAACATTTACAGACCAGGCATGAAGGTGTCCGCTTGCTGACTTTTCTGATTCTTCATCTCATTCTTCCTCCTCGCGGCCTTGACGCCTCTGAGCTCATCAGTCAGCGTCTCGATCAACCGCTCCAGGATCCACTCAGCCTCCTCTTGAGAGCTCATCAACGGACTCCTGCTGCCGACCCAACTCCACTTCGCCCGTTCTTTCCCCTCCAGTTCATCCTTACTGCTACGAAGATGAGCGTGAGGCTTTCGGTGCTTAGCTGCGTCGCTCTCGTCCTCTCCGATGAGCCGCAGGTACCATGCCCACTCCTGAAAAGTGTACTTCCGCGGAGGGTGGCTCTTGAGGTGTTGCATTACTAGCCCGATCTCTTCGATCAGCGTGAGGTGGTACTCGGCCGGATCCATGGGGCTTTGGGGCAAGTCCTGGCGTGGTATTGAGACGGCACGCGTCATTTCGGGAAGCTGAGGAGTTGAGTTCGAGTTCTGGTCGTACGGGTTCTCCTCGTCATCCGTGTTTCCCATCTTCTTTGACCGGCCGTTCGCTCCTTTCTTCCCTGACGTAGTAGAGGAGTCATCGAAGCGAACTGCTCGATCAGGACGATCGCCACTGTCCTCTTCAGCTGCGTTACCTTCCACTCGCCTCTTATGACTCTCTTCGTTTCTTGCATTCTTCGCCTGTTTCTGCTTTATCAGACCCGTGTTTGCGCTTTCGGCATCAACATCTGCTTGATCTTGAGCTAGCTCACCCTCGTCATCGTTCTCCTCGCTGCTGTACCTATGGCGCTGTGAGGCTCCATGTATTCCTGGGGGTGACTCCTCGATATCCTCGGTAAACAGCTTTCCATGGGAAAGGGCATTAAAGGTTGCCTTGAACTCGCTCTTGAAGCCCCGCTCGCTAGGAAGAATGGTAACGGTGGCCACTTTGTCCGTGGCATCTTTGATACCCTTCACGATGGTATCTCCTGCATTAGAGATCAGGACTGTCATAGTCGGAAGAGCGAGGAGTGCCCAGAAGACCCAAAAGGACTTTCCGGCGTTGGATATCGGTGTGATATCTCCGTATCCGATGGTTGTCAGACTAACATATGCCATGTAAAAGGTATCAAAGTAGGTCAATTGTTGATACTGACGTTCACACTCTTGAAAGACTTTGGCACCCACCAGCCATAAGACCAACCAGGTGCTTGTAGAGATAGCCAAAGCAATCCAGCGATGCCTATGAGTCGCCTGCTTTTGAATCTTTCTCATCAGCTCAAACTCGGATTGTCGCCGTTGGAACTCGGTCAGACCAGAGCTGGAAGACAGTTCAGGGGAATCGGAATGTGTATCTCGTATGGGTGTAAGTATACCATCCTTTCCCTTCTTGGCCATTTTTCTTAACACGCGATGTCTGAGCTTTTCCACCATACGTGCATCAAGTCTTTTCTTGCCGCGCTCTAGCATCAAAGTGCGGATGGATCCAATGACGAGACCCAAGCTGATAATGCCGACCAGGGAGTACGGGAAGAGGAGAGCCCTTCCGAGAGTTGAGGTAGGGTAGTAATCGCCAAATCCCACGGTAAAGAGCGTCACGGCCGCCCAGTACACACCATCGAGGTAGTTCCATCCTTCGGTGTTGGAAAAGATAAGGGCACCGATGAGGAGGTAGATGAGGAACGAGATGGTCTGTAGCATCAGTGTCCTCTGACTGGGTGTGAGCATAAAATCCTTTGCGTAGTGCCCCTGCTGAGATCCCCAGACGGTAACTACCATGAGCGAAGCGACAACGAAGTACAGGACTGCGGCGTAGATGCCGTAAAAGTAAGCTTCAGACCAGATGAAGTCGTTGTTTTCCGGTCTCAGCGGTCCGGCTGTCGTACTTGCGAGGGCTATCAAGCATATGGATGAGAGGTACCATCCGACAATGGTGACGGGTTGAGCGACGGAGAACCGGAGTCTCCTGGTCATGTTAAGGAGTAGGGCCAGGTTGGAGCTTAGCGCGATGGCAAGCTGGACTGCATTGATAGCGATCAGCCAGGCTGGGTCTTTGATGAAGGTGGCGGTCTTGATGTCAGCCCCTTTGGTGTAATTTTGTCTCCATGGCCGGACTAGAGCACAGATACTGAAGGCGCTTGCAACGGGCCCAAGTGTGCCTGCGACCATGGGAAAAGCAGCCGAGGCAAACCACCATCGACTTGACAGAGTCCAGACCGTCAGTATATACTATGATACAAACTGAGTACCCGAGGACTTTGATGTGACTTACCTGGGATCTCGATGGGCCTGGTCCTCTCCCATAAGCTTGGGAAGTGAGGCCTTGTACTGCTCATCGACCTCTTGAAGATGTTCCTCCACATTCTCACCACCAGCGTCCTCCATGTTGTCAACTAAGTAGTATTAGGGCGATTATAAAAGAAATACTGTAAAGAATGGTGATAATTGTAAAGCGAAGTGTCATAGGGTATCGGGATGGGTTCCCCTATGGACGCTTGCTGTTGAATGTCATCGTCGAATTATCGTAGCATCACGGCGGCAAGGACGAAGCATGAATGAATATCGGTGGTGGTTCATTGGGACTACCTAGGTAGGTACGGTTATATGTAGAGATATAAGACAAGTTGGCTGGCTTGATACTTTCCTGGCATAACCTGGACAGCCCTTTCCAAGCTGAAAGAAAATGTCGGGTTGTTTGTCACGTTGATTCCCGTCCCTATCCATCATATGACGTCCTGGGCAGCAAGAACATGTTCTGGAGGCTGCGGTGATCGCTAAAAGCCAAGTTCTGCCAAGGTTTCAACGTAAGCTTCCACGTTCTGTGGAGGAGTCACATGGCCCCACTTTCCATAAGCTTCAGCTGTCACCAGATGCCAGACAGTGATTTGCTGTAGGTACGTACCTCCATCTGTTTATGGTCGTCGTCTCAAAACAATTTCTGGCGGCAGCCAAACACCAAAACAACACCCAGCTTTGATCGTGACATCAACGTTGATCTATCCAGCTTGGCATGTCATAACCTCCCATGGGGTACTTTCTTGCGTCTAGAAAAGAAAAGAGACGAAGGGATAAGTTGGTGCTACGACGAGTACGAATTTCTGGTTCAGTGTCCAAGGCCTCTTACTCCGTTGTGAAATCGTGAAATGAGAAAGGGTCTGACAAAGAAACTATGCCAGAACTTCACCATAAACTGGCGACTCCGTAGAAGATGCCCAGATGGACTGTAGCACTGAGACTTAGGCGCATTACTGTCGCTTCAAAACTCCCGCGCCAAACGTCCCATGAAAGATTCTACAGTAGCAGTCCCCCATTTGAGCCTTCGATAGAACGCTATACCGTTCCTTGCGCCTCTTCTGGTGAAATTACCGTCAGGTAGGTGGTCAACATAACATCAACAGTCTCCTTGGGAGCTGTGGGTGATGAAGGTCAATCTTAGACTGATATCTGTGGCTCAGTCTGTACAATGTCGCTGACCGGCCACCAACCGATCCCTTAATCATCTGGATCCCCCCCTTTGCTGCTCGGGACGAGACTGACCCGAACTATCATCTCCCATCATGGCTTCACACATATTCGGCCGCTGTCATTCACTATAGATGGTCTGGCTTATACGACGACAGACCACAGCCAAAACTCAAGCCAAAGATTGCAGAGTCCGATTTTGACGATGAAGGATATCAATCGCGCGAGACACCTAATAGCAAAGAAGAAGAGGGACGTCCCGAAGAAGAGGAAGAAGATATCAGCATAACCCCCTTCCACTGGCCCACCCCTATCCACGACGTCCTCTTTGGCTACTCCTGGATTACCCAAAACCTTCAACCAAGATACCCCCAACGCAAAGACGTCTACATCTGCGGTTCCTACCTGGGCGCCAGTCTGGCCGCCGGCCTGGCCCTCACCGAGTCGTACCCGCACGCACGCATGGCCGTACGCGGTCTCCTCGCCTACAACGGCATCTACGACTGGACCACTTTCTTGCCTGATCACCCGATCCACCGGCCCAAGGGCGACGACCGCATCCTCATTGAGGAGCAGCTGCACAAGCTGAACCGCGACCTCGACAAAGATGCAGGACCGGCTGCCACCTCTCCCATCATTGCCCATTATCAGCGTCGGCTCGAAGACCTCTTTGGCTCGCCGTCGGGACTGTTTGACAGCTTTGCTAGCGCTTGTCTGTTTTTCCACACAGCGGGACTTTTTGTTCCGACGACTTTTGATGAGAAGTATGTTCCGGAATGGCTTTATCCGCCACCTCCGGGGCCTTTGATCACTGGTGCCGGTGCCGTTGCCAGTGGTATCAGCAGCGGCGACATCAACGTCCCCGCGGACGTCCACAGCGAACCCCACGACCCATTGACTTCCCCCTCTACTCCTCCTCCTCACCAACCTCCGCCGCCCCTCCCAGCCAGCCAAAACCCCACCGATGACCTCGACCCCGACAACTCGGAGCACTCGGAGCACTACCGTATGCACATGTCGATGGTCAACGACGCCGAAGGCGAGCCGGACGAGGTAGCGGCCGAAGACATGCTCCAGCAAACTCTCAAGGTAGAGATTCTACCTGGCAAGTTCCCACGTAAGAGCTATGTGCATTTCCCGCCGAGGCACTCCATGCTTAAGCTCCCGGATACGTTGTTGCTGTATGAGACGCCGTCGGCGGAGTTGCCGTTCAAGTGTGATGCTTTGGCAAAGATTGGGTCGGAGGGGGGGAAGGATGGGGTTGTTGATGCCGCGGCCCGCAACAGAAATCAAAAGGGGCTTAGTGGTACTCAGAAGCAAAAGAAGATAAAGCAGGAAGAAGAAAAAGAAGAAGACCAGGGAGAGAAGCGCGAAGAGGACGACTCAGCACAAGGCGAAGCAGAGGGAAAGAAGAAATCCCGTCCTCGTCTCAAAACGCGAAAACACCGCAAACCCCCGGTTGCCATCACCGCTGGCGAGAACAGCTTCCGCACGCAAGCGTACGAACTGGCGCTGCTGATGCAGCGGAGCATTGAGATGTTGGAACTCAAAGAGCGGCGGAAGTGGGACGAGGATTACCTGATCGACCTCCACCATTGGGAGCTGGAGGCGGCGAGGAGGGTCAAGGTGGCGGACGTGGGCGTGGTGGATGATCAGGACATGGTGATTGGCGATTTGGAAGGTGTCGGGGATCTGGATGAGAGGGGAAGGGAGATTGTGTTGGGATGGTTGGAAGAGAAGATGGATAAGGCGCGTTGATGACTTGAGAGGTGGGATATACTGGTTCAGATGTACTCTCCGCAAGCCCGAGGTAATGTGATAGTGTAAAGATAGAACTTGGCTTGATCTTTTCATTGTCCCGAGCAGTTGATGTGAAGCCAATCTGGATATGTTCTTGTGAAACCGAAGGCGGGCCTGCTCCTTTTCGCTGGCCTTCCTTATTTATTATCCGATAACGCCCACTCTGGATGATGAGTAGATATCCTACCTACCAATATTATGCTAACGCTCGCCACCCATCATCATCATAACATGACCCAATTTCCATGTGATTTTACTCCTCAATGGTCTTGACGTTCTCCCACTCGCCCTTAAGGTTCTCCTTCCATAGTGTGACCTTGTTGTTGTCACTGCTGGCGGCCAGCACGTTTCCGCTGAGCGACCAGCTAACGCGCCAGACGGCCGCATCAAAGTTGAGAACCTTGCACTTCCACTCGCCCGGGTTCGCCGCGTCACTCGTCCAGATGCGCACCGTCTTGTCCTGCGAGGCGCTCGCGATGTAGCTCTTCTGAAGCACAGTCGGGCTCCACGCAACGTCGCGAACCCAATCTGTATGACCCGCCAGGGGCTCGCGCTCGAGCTTGTATCCGTTCGTCGCGGGGTCGAAAGTCCAGATCTTGAGCAGGTTGTCGGAACCGCCAGTCACGAAGCGTCTGTTGCCTGTCGAGCCGGGGCCGGGGTTGCTGCTGACGATGCTGCCGGGGGTGGTGGCGGGGGCCCACGAGACCGAGTTGACGCCCAGGCCGTGGGCGTGGAAGATGTTGTGCTCCCAGCTGTTATCCTTGAATTCGAGAACGCTGACGTTGCCGTCCGAAGAGGCGCAGGCCAAGAGGCAGCCGGCTTCGTGGGGAGACCAGGACACGATGTTGACGCTAGCTTTGTGCAGGGCGAAGTCGAAGATGCGCTGCCAGCTGCCGGCTTGCTCGCGCCAAATGAGAACCTTGCCGTCGTAGCCTGCCGAGGCGAGGATGTTGCCGTACTTGGGGTGCGCCCATGCTACGGACCAAACTGCGCCATCGTGTCTGTTGGAAGAAGGGAGGTTAACCCATTGCCCATATTGTTTGGTGCGCAAACATACCCCTTCAGTGTCTCAACAAGTCGCTGTGATTCGCCCTCGATCTCAAAGATCTTGATGGTGCGATCCGAGGAGCATGTCGCTAACCTCCTGCCGTAGTAGTCGAGAACTGCATCGTGCTGCGAGGGTCGGTTAGAAACAGAGGGATGGTTGTCGGGAAACGTCGAGGGGGCGATGTTCAGCGTACAATCATATCATCGTGGCCAGAGTTGGCGATAACCTGTGCGCCTGCGGTCTGTCGTTGTCGCGATAGCTTCATGTTAGTGGATAGGTAGCCAAGTAAGGGGGGGACGCCGCCGGCAGCTTTGGGGTGTAAGAGGACGTACCATCTTGATTAATTATGGAGTATTGAAGATTGTGGAAAAGACAAAAAGATTATGGGGTTGTATTTGCGTGCTTTGGGTTATGGATGAATTCAAACTGGAGTTATGAAGTACACTACTCAGAGCTAGTAGAAAGGAAAAAGGGCCGTCGTTGGGGATTGCTGTTTAAGTTGGATCACCACCACGGGCATTGGAATGGAACCCAGCTGCAAGCTACAGGCAGTGGAAGCCCAGGCGACACGATAGGTGAACCCGTCTTGCTGCGCTGGAGCTTGACGCTTGCGCACTAGTGATCCCTGTCGAGCGATGTGGTCCAGCTGGCAAGAAGTCAAGGTGAGCAAGGTGAGACGCGGTGAGTGGAGCCTTGGTCGGTTTCCTCGTAGGCTCACCGTGGTGTGACGTTATGTCTTCGAAATCGGAGGCTCGAAGTGGACTCTTGTCGAGACAACCAAGGTGGGGCAGGTGAGGCAGGGGCTCGTTGACGACCCCACGCGTCGCTTGGGCTCTCCCGTCCCGCTGTAAAAGTCCACTGAAACATGCCGTGCACATGATAGCGCGTGAGCGCATGGCTACCCCGACGGGAATTTCGCCAGTGCCGTGGCAGCGTTCACTTTGGGAAAAGTTGGGATGGAATCTCACTCAACCAAACCATTTTGACCCTTCTTCCAGAATTACTTGTTGAAAATCAGCGACGCTTTTTGTTTGCTTGCGAAAAAGGAATTCTTTATGCACAGTAATCAGTCGCGTCCTTTTCGTGGTTATTTGGTTGGGCGTTGTTTATCTTTTTTTCTCGTTTCCATCTTTCCCCTTCTCCAACTACTTTTCTCCAAATACTTACCGTTGAAGACTTGAGATACCGGCGGGTTCGGTTACGACTATCGCGCTGTTCAAAGAACCTCGGCTTCTACTTTCGCGCCACTAATCTACACTACTTACAACTTGCAACTCTCCTTTCGCTCACTCATCCAAGTCTTCCTCGCTCTACAATAATTATATACTCTCTTGAAGGACATTTTGTTCCTCACTCTTTATATATATAACCTTCTACTCTTGTATTTTCTTTCTCTAAACTTACCGTCACCCGCGCTTCTCGCCTTTTTGCTTCCAACAAGTCAAACCTCGCTCAACATGTCTGACAGCATGTGCGGCCCGTCCAACGGTGCCAAGACCCTTCTTGCGCACGCTGATCGCGACCGCACTCTTCACCAGGACCGCCTGGTCAACTCGCCCAACTCGGCTGCCGGTGCTGTATGATATGATCGCTTTCTTTAGTCATGTCGTAGAATACCCAACGTAACTCGATGCTAACATCCCATCCAGTCCTTCAGAAACCGCCCCTCCTTCGCTGCTGATGGTGCCTATGAGACCTTTCAGCAAGCCCCTATGCTCGACGCCCCGGGTCCTTCCCTCGGCCTTGCGAATAATACGTTCCTGAACAACCCAGGCGTCCCGGCTTTTCATGCTGGTCCAGCGCCTGGTGTCTTTGGTCATGCGGTCGGAGGTGCGCCGGCTACGGCCAGTCCCATGCACTCCTCCCGTGCCGCTGCCCACGGCTGGGTCGACCAGTTCGCCAGCATGCAGCTCCGTCAGGACACAGCTCACGCGGCCCCGGCCATGTCATCTCAAGCCATGCCGGCAACCATGTCTACTGCAACCCACAACTCCATGATGGGCTTGCAGGACGACCATATGGCCTACAACACTCGCCAGTTTGGCGGTATGGGAATGGGTGTGGGTACGGGAATGGGAATGGGAATGGGAATGTCCATGGACGATCCTTTTGTCATGCATGGCACAGCCACGAACAACTTCACCCACCAGCAGCCTCAGTTCGTCCTCACCGACCACGTCGAGTCGGCTCTGGACATTGAAGCCTTTAACAGAGCCTTTGGCGAGTACGACGAGTCTTCCTTTGAGCAAGAACTCGCTGAGTGGGCCGAGAAGGAAAAGGCCGAGAAGGCTCAGCAAGCTCAGCAGGAGTTTGAGGCTGCCGAGGCCGAGTGGATGGCGCAGCACGGTCCGAGCGCCGAGAACAACACCAAAGTCGGCCCCCCCACCGACGAGGAGATGGCCACCATCGATGCTGATCTGGAGAACCTCGCTGAAGAGATGGAAGCCAAGGAAGAAGCCGAGGCTCGTCGTCGCGAGGGCAACGAGGAGCTCGCCAAGGCAGCCAACGCCATTTTGACCTCCGTCGCCGACAACCAGTCCGAGAAATTTCAAAAGTCGACTTTCCTGGACTTGATGCGTCGCATCGGCAACAGAGAGGTCGAGGTCGACGGTGATAAGCTTGTCGACGTAGCGACTGGCGAGAAGGTCAGCACCAGCCCTCCCGACTTCGGCCCCAACGACGATGTCTCTGGCCCTTCGGATGCGAACGACAAGGGCAACGCTCCCGCTGAACCTGCTTCTTCCGCTTGAGTTTTCGGCACCTCAAAGTCGAGGATACTGTGTTTGACCTTGGCTCACTGTTGATTAAATCGCTTCACTGTATGGGGACTGGGACGGCCAGTTTGTTATCATTGCAGGCGCGACATGGTATTGTTACATAATTTCTCGCTTTTGTTACGGCTTTATTACGGTTTAGGGGACATCGACACGATGTTGTGTCGAGCATTCGATTTTGTTGCTGCGCATTTCCGAGCATGGACTGGTTTCCAAGGGACGTATTTTCACATTGCTGGGATAGAAGGAAAAGGTTCACATGAAGACGGAACTGTTTGGTACCAAAAGGATTTGCTTCAGTCATGGCTTGGGTCAGGTTCCGGTACCACGGGTTTGGGCATGGCGTTCAAGAAGGCCACAGGAGGCTAGGCAGGCGCACGGTTCATACTTTCTCTCACTACTTGTTACATGTCAGCATTGTTTCGGAGTATTATTACTATTACACCGGCGTAAGAGGCATTTGTGATTGTACTTAGTTTATTCTCACACCAACAAGCAGGAGGCTTATCATTCACATATTAGCGTGGACTCACATAACTGATATTGGTGACACGTGTGAATACCTTGGACTGGAATTTTGGTTACTGATGTTGCTTCCCGTCGAGTCGTCATTACCGGCCAGGTGAGCGGAGGGGCATGGAACTCGTGGGGTCCCGTGTGCCGACTGTCCAGTCGGGATGCCGCCGTGCGGGGTGGGGCTTCCCCGGACGGGATCGCCATTCGGCCACGGGTGGGATGCTGGAATGATGCCATGCCGGGACCCCATAGCGTGGCATTTGAACGACCGCCATTATTTGTCATCCGTATTGTCACCTTCGTAATGCTTACTCATGAGGGCATCACGTCGATGAAGCTATTCGGACACCATATTTGACTTCAACTTGACCCTAACATAGTTCTTACCTATTTACTTCAGTTCACATCCGAGTTGACGCAGTACCCTAAAATTCAATTTAGAATCAACACCGACAATCAGCTTACCCCAAACCCATTCAACCTGAGACTTCAGACCCTAAACTCCCAAATTAAACAACAACATGCCCTCCCAAAGACCAACCTACAAATCCCCCCTAGAAGGCTACGAAAATGCCCCTCCCCTTCCCACCGAAAAGGCCGAAGACGGCAAGAGCCTCCTCAACAACCAAACCGGCGTGCTCAGCAGCGCCTACGAAAAGTTTCCCGAGCCTCTAGATAACGGGCGACGAGGTGCCTTGTACGAGCCCATATCCCCCCTCTTCTTCCCTCTTCGCCTTCTCCCTTTGTAAGTTTCACTAACATTCCCTTCCCCCTTCCCCAAAGTGACGTCCACATCTACCACCTCCCCAACCACCCCGCCCAAGCCCGCTACGCCTCCGAACTGCATTCTCGCATCAGACACGAGTTCCCCGAGTTACGGATCTACACCTTTTGGAGCAAACCCGTCGGCCCTCACCCGATCGGCATGTTCGAAGTGAACATCTTTACGCCGGCGCAGCTTGGTGCCTTTGTGGGCTGGTTGGCGGTCTGGAGAGGACCGTTGAGTGTGTTGATTCATCCGAATACGACGGAGAAGACCCTAAGTGAGGGGGGAGAGATCAGTGAGGCGGAGAAGGAGGCGAGGAATCATACGGATAAAGCGATTTGGATGGGGGAGAAGGTGGTGCTGAATACGGATATGTTTTGGGAGGTTATGGATCATTGAGCATCAAGGGGATTCAAATTTGGAAGTGGGGACATGAGGAGGACCTGGACCCCTGGATAGAGAACGGTCGGGTACCTATGGTACCTATATGGTATGGCGTGATGAGATAAGATATCTTACCTACCGGAAGTTTTTGGGTTGGAGACGAAAGCGTCGTTGGGAAGGAAAAGTTTCGGAAGGATGACAGAAACCTTGCTTGGTTCGACCATTGTCTGCGATCAATTATCGTGCCATTGAGTGAATGAAACTGGTGATAAGGTTTTTCTAAAATCCCGATAATTCGGTCCTGAGCCTTTCATACCGTACATGCTTTCTCCTTCCTATACAATCATCGTTGCTTATATATTGTCCCTAATCAAATATATAACGAGAGAAACAAAACCTTGGCCTGCCTATCGGCTTGTTCCATCTTCAGCCCACCGCAGTTCACTTGAGTGTAGTAGTAACTTAACCGCGCTGAACCACCCATACATAGGTACTATACCGTGGCGTTCCTCGGCACCCCTCAAATTATATCAAAGCTGCCCGGACACCATGCGCCATGCTTCACATGGCTAAATATAAGCCTGTTCTTCAAGCCCTCTCTCTCCAAAACTTTCCTCTTTGGGCACGTTATCTGATTGTTGTGTGTGACGCCTCAAGCGCGTCTGTGGTCGTGCACACTACAAGTGTGGCATCGTGGACGAGCTTGTTGATCCTGTCCCTTTTGGGTGTGTATAATTGTTCCGTCTTACCTCTTGGTTTGAATGGCGTGGGTCGTCGACCTGGTCGGGTGGGTGTGATTGAGGTTTAAGCTTGATCTTGGCGTGTTTCTATATAGGACAGAAGACCCTGTAAACCATAACCTTATTTTTTTTTTTTTTTTTTTTTTTTTTTCCTTTTATTATCAAGGCCTATGCCGCTGTATTCAAGATCCCGAGTTGCTGGTGGTAGATCATCAAGGTGCAATAGAGTGACAATATTCAGGTCATTGTTCGAAACTTGGGGGTTGTAGGACGTCTGGGGCGTTGCAACTGGTTGTTGAAGGACAGCCGTTCGAAGACCGAGTGACGAATACCCTCTTCAACGCAACATTAATGTGCGAATAAGGAAGATGGGTAGGTATATCGTCGAAGATTGATCAAATACACCCAAGCTACTATTGCCAAAGTACTCCTCCTGTTGGTCACACTTTGAAAAGCTTGATCTTCCTCCCCAGACTCGCTAAAGCTTCCTGCCGTGTGCCTGCATTTTATCTTGATTTGTCTTTTTCAGCTGGTAGGGGTCTTGCTACACCAACAAGGGGGTATCCTTTCCGGTCTCGACATCGAATTAACAACGGAAAAAAGGTAGTGTGCATAATGAGAAGGAGAGATGGACGGTTATCGTGAGCAGTTCTTGGAGGCGATGAGGGAGGGGTAAAAGGAGTTTTCGAGGAAGACGCCTTGTTAAGCGCCGATCTGGTGTCCACGCACCTTTATCGTAATTGGGAGACAGGCTTGGGTTCGTGGTTCTAATGAAGTGGCCTTCGCGGAAAATGTTCAACTTGACTTTCTTTTCTGGTCTCCCCTTTGTGTATCAACTTGACATATTCCACGCAAGTCTCTGGTGTTGTGCGGTTGAGTAGGCTCTTCTGTACCATCACTCTGCTTTGATCCCGTCCAGATTGTTCAACTCCAGCTGCCGTCCCTTTCCCAAACAGTGATACCATTTCATCTCTGTTGCCTTCAACCTATACACTCTCGATTTCTTGAGACGGTCTTTTTCCTTAGGACGATGCGTGGCCAGCATCGATCATCGCCGCTGCCGCTCCTAGGCTTGCTAGGAGTCGCAAAAGCCGCACAAGTCGTCTACATTACCGACCTGGCGATATACAACTCCTTGGTACTTGACCTTCTTCCCCTTCATTCCTTCCAGTCTCATGAGACTGCATACCTCCTTTCTCGAAGACAATAGAGCTGATGATTTCCCATATGTTGTAATAAGGCACCATGCGCCCAAACCGCCATCTCCTATAACGTCCAAGGTCAAACCCGCGATGCCTGTCCCGCCGCAGTCGGGGAACTCCAAGGCTGCGTCTGCACCAAGAACAACAACTTCGCCGCCATCAAGTCCGATGTCTCCAAGTCCGTCAACTACTATTGCGGGTCGACGGCCACCGAGGACCAAGCGTCGGCGGGGACAGTGCTCAGCGCGTATTGCAGCCAGGACAAGCTGCCGGAGTTTCCGCAGCCATCAGTTCCGGTGACGCAGTACATTACTGATGTTCCCGAGGTGGCCGCGTTAGCGCCTTGTGCGTTTAGTGCGCTTGGATATGCTATCAGGGAAATGGTTAGTTGGGAGACCGGAAGCCTCTGGACCTTTTCTTCGACCAGGCGGTACCGATACTAATTTGAATGTCCTCGCAGGGACGCGAACGATGCCCCTCGGACTTGGCAGCCTACGCCACCTGCGCTTGTCAAAAGAACCAGAACTCTCTGCTGGCGAGCCAGCTCATTAACTCGTCAGTCAAGTACTACTGCGAAGGCCACACAGCCGATGTCTCGTCAGCCCAGGGAATGTGGTCGGCGTGGTGTAAGCTGAATGAGGGCACTTCAGCATTTCCTAAGCCGAGTAACCCTCCCGGTGATAGTAAGTTTGACAGTGATGGATATACACTTTTGGCTCTAGTTCGGATGGCTGATCGAGCACCTGTTGGGAAGTGACGTACTATATCAAGGACCTGCCGCAGTATAGCTCATTGGCCAATTGTGCTGCTTCGGCGGTATCCTATGCTGTTCAAGGGGTAAGAACAACATGCGTTTTCTTGTGTAAGATCGTGTTACTATGCTGACACTTTAGTGAAATAGCAAGCCCGTGAGCTGTGCCCTGACGGGCCTCAGGCACTTGCATCATGTGTCTGCCTCAAAGACCAAATGCTTGGTCTGGTGACAAGTTCCATCACCGCGAGCGTCAAATACAGTTGTGGTGTAACAGCAACTGACGATATCTCATCTGCAATGGCTGTAAGTGCATAAACTCTCAATCATTGTCCAAACGTCTCGTGGCTAACGATCCACAACAGGTCCTGGACTTGTACTGCAATGCTGCCAACAACAAGCTCGTCGCAAATGGGGTTACCGCCTCGGAATCCCAAGCAGACCCGACTCCAACAGCCCAGAGTGGCAGCAGAGCCAACCGTGGTGCCCAGGCTACGGCCAGCAGCGGAAGTGGCTCAAGGTCTGGCTCCGGCTCCGGTAGCAATTCCGGTGATGACAGTACGGGAGGGGCCAATGACGGCGGCAGCGGGAGCGGCAACACAGGCAAAAAATCCTCCAATACGGGGGTTATTGCTGGCGCCGTCATTGGCGTTCTCGTTGGCCTGGGCATCATTGCCGCTCTTCTGTTCTTCTTCATCCGCAGGTCAAAGCAGCGTAAAAACATGGAGCAGACCAATTCCTCGAATGCCATCCATGATGTCTTTGCCGGGGAAGGCAAGCCCGAACTTGCTGGCAATCCTATTGTTGGCGGCGCTGCTACTGCTGCTGCTGCTGCTGCTGCTGCCGCCGCCACCGTCCCGCCCTCGCCGCCAAGTCGTTCCGCAAGCATGCTCAAGGACGGAACCAGAGTCAACAGCGTGTCCCCAGTGTCGGCTGGTGCGGGCAGATTTCCCCCTCCCCAGTTGACGGCCGAACTCCAAGGTCAAGGACCGCCGCATCCGCTCAACAGC